GATTCACCCCTAAAAGTTCCATAGAAATATTATATACATAAGCCTTTAGAGTTTAAAGCCAGACCTGGAGATTTGGTCTCTTGCGATTTAAACCTTATTATCTTAATTCTAACGTTCTTCTAGGTTGTTTATCGCTAAAACTTCATAGATTTAGACCATAGGCAAAGGGAAACAGTCTTGAGAGCTACCTAATCATTAATATTTATAATTTTGCTTTAAAGCATTTTACCCCGCCTGGATATTGTTATTTTAACAGAACTGGAAAGTAGAACTAAATTGATATACTTATGTTTGTTTTTTTTTTATATGATAGGGTGACAAACGAGCACGCAGTCCACCTGATTGTAAGTGGTTACTGTGACCCATAGACAACTACATCTATCCTCAATAAAGACTCAAGATGCAGATGCGTTGTCATCCGTGAGGACTAAGATGGAATGCCTCTTTGCCAGTAAAAAGGGTCTCCGGTTCTCTACACTACGAAACACAGCAGCGTTAAGCTGCTATTTTACGCTGGTTTTCTGTGAGAGCGTGGTCCTTCCCCAGTCGAGCCGACCCATTCGTGCTACAACTATAGGTATACTACTAATATAGTTGCAGCATGGCTCTACCACTTCTGAATGTAATATTCATTCTTAATAACTAATGTTTAATTTATATACGCTTCATAATTTGCGTAAGTACTATGCACAGACTAATATGATGGTTAGTTTTATGGTTTTTCCACCCATCCAAATTCTTTGCTCGTTTATGAATCAACTTTGTAAACATTAATGAGTGTACCTATCATTAAGAGCTATAACAAAAGTGCTAAACAAAAGAATTTAAAAATATTCCAGAAACACGCTTTGTTAACCAACTGAGAAACATAGAATATAAAATCTTCTTTTCACCCTATTTTACTGTCATTTTAGCGTATTTGTCATTCCTTTTATAAGACTCGACGCGTAGCAAAATAAAAAATTGCATTCTAAAAATTATAGAGATAAGTGGTGGTTACATTTGGCGTCTTAAAATAAATTATTATTGCAATATAATGTTTTAGTGCAATTGAAGATTTTTGTCTCACTACTTTTAGGCGGGCTTTTCTCTTAAAAGATATACCTAACCCCATCTTAACCTAAAACCAAGAGGCACACATCTGAACATTTGGAGTGAAAAGTTCATAAAACACTTCAATTGATAGTTTTGGACAGCGACTTTTTGTATCTACTGCGGATATCCTCATTTAATTAATAGAATCAGGCATTACTTTGCGGAAATCCATTACATAAAAGCTTTTAGAAAAATTTACTTCGCAAATAACGCGGACATTTGCGAAGTAAATTTTTCTAAAAGCTTTGATATCCTCATTCCTAAGTTTATCACGCAGAGAAACCTCGAGCATAGCCCTCTCCATAGCTTGTTGAGCATCCTCATGCAGCCAGCAGTGAAGAATCACGTCTCAGATCTATAAGTCATCGCTGGCAACACGCAGAGATTGTAAAATATCGTTTTCAATTTTTGAGGTATACCTAACGAGAAGTGTCGTAATCTCCCGAACGCTGCCCAGCCGAGGTGAATCCGTCGATTGACCTCTCTATCTAAGTTGGACTAACCTAGCCGGACGATTTATTCCAGGTAAATATATTCGTCAACAACTTCGAGCGTATCAGCAAATATCTGTAACATTTATATTAGTCGAACTTCATTAGCTAATGTTGGACGTTCTCTTCGCAGTTCCAAACAAACCTTCGTTACGTATAGTGCCCTGTGATGACAATTAAAATATCTTTATCACATTATTTACCTACCTTTCACATTATTGTTTTGGAGAGATATTATCATAAATTAAAAAAAAAGGTTTATCCTTTTATTTATTACTAAGCTAAATAAATATACAGCCTTTAACGTATTTTATTGCCTTTATGCTTCTTGTCAACAAAGTTATTGGTGCAGTTAGTTACTTGAAACTATATAACGGCACCAATAACTATGTCAACATCTGTCGATACCTAATATTAATAACTTGTATTTTTTTCTTTTTATACGCCTTACAATTATTTAAGTAACCTAAAAGTGGCCTATATTTCTGATGAGTGAGTCAGTCAGTGATAAAAATTGCACTTTTAAGACCTTAATAATTCGAGAACTTTATTAGTGTATAATAAAAATAAAATTTAGGTTGTAGTTGACTGGTTTTCGTAAAGGCGACTGTTGATTTTTTTTATAGAATAACGAGCACACACAGTCCACCTGATGATAAGTGGTTGCTGCGGCCCACATCTATCCTCGATTACGAACCAAAATACAGATGCGTCGTCCCCCGTGAGGACTAAGATGGAATGCCTCGTTTCCAGTAAAAAGGGTCTCCGGTTCTCTACACTTACCATACGAAACACAGCAGCGTTAAGCTGCTATTTTACGCTGGTATTCTGTGAGAGCGTAGTCCTTCCCCGGTGGAGCCGACCCATTCGTGCTACAATCATAATATAGCTGCAGCATGGCTTTACCACATATAATCATCAAAACATCTATAAAAAGTCACGAAAAAACCTATTTGGCAGTGCAACGCTTGTAAATGTGTATTAATAAAAAATGATCTTGTTCAATTAATGTTTTAACTTAACTTAAATAACATAATATTAATAAATGATGGTGAGTATTATAATATTCAACAGTATACCGTAGGAGTCCATAAGAGCAGGCATAGGTTATATGATCTTTATCATGAAAGGTCATATAATCATAACGTCGAATTTAGGGAATATGTAAAAAAATATTCAAAAATATTTAAAAGAGTGTGCTCTATAGCCAATTTTTGCATTTGAGCAACAAAATTAAGACGGCTTCCAATAAAATTAAAATGACATGGAGTATAATTAATAGCGAAACTGGTAAGATCAACTCTCGCAATTCAAATTACCAGTTAAGTGTTAACAACAAATTAACTGTATCAGATCAGGACGTAGCAATGGTTTTTGAGAAATATTTTACTGATATTCCGATCTTGACCACTAAGTCACTGAATTCTTCTCCTGCCGTCGCCGAATCATTACTTAAACAAAATGTAAATGTGTGTACAAAGAATTTTACATTTCATAAAGTGTCATCTAAAGATATTGTAAAATATTTTAAAACTATTGATGTTAAGAAAACTGCGGATCTGTGGGGGATTTCCGTTAAAGTTATTGCGTCTATAATAGATAGAATCGCGCCTCATTTAGCTATTATTTTTAATACTAGTAACGAATCTGGTGTGTTTCCTGATTAAATGAAGCATAGTAAAGTAATACCTTTATTTAAATCTGGTAGTACATTAGACCCCGCCAATTTTAGACCTATTTCTGTACTACCATAAAAATCAATTTGGTTTCACAAGGGGTCGCTCGACAACTGATGCCGGTGTTGAGCTGATTAAATATATCTTTAATGCATGGGAGAATTCACAGGATGCTTTGAGTATATTTTGTGACCTATCCAAGGCCTTCGATTGTGTTCACCATGAAACATTAATCAGGAAACTTCAACACTACGGTGTAAGAAGTGATGCTCTTAAATTAATTATTTCATATTTAAGTAAGAGAACGTAAAAAGTTGTCATTAACAATATGAGCTCTTCCGGATCGATGGTACAAATGGGCGTGCCTCAAGGCTCAATTCTCGGCCCCTTTCTGTTTCTTGTATACATTAATGACTTACCTTACATAGTAGGGGATAACCGTGATATAGTATTATTTGCAGATGACACTTCTTTAATTTTCAAATTAAGTCGACAATTATTAAAATATGACGAAGTAAATAATGCTATATCTAAATTAGTAAATTGGTTCAATGTTAAAAATTTGCATTTAAATGACACTAAAGCGAAATGTATGAAATTGATGACTCCAAATGTCAAACAATTAAATACTAATGTAATTTTAAATGGGGAGAAACTGAGTCTTGTAGATACCACCATTTTTCTTGGAATCACACTAGACGCGAAGCTTCAATGGAGCCCCCATAATTCAAAACTAGCAAGTAGACTTAGTTCTGCAGCATATGCTGTAAAAAAGATTAGAAGTCTAACCAGTGTTGAAACAGCTAGACTCGTTTACTTTAGCTATTTCCATAGCATAATGTCGTATGGTATTTTGCTATGGGGAGACGCAGCTGACACTGAAATTATATTTGTTTTACAGAAGAGGGCCATAAGAGCAATTTATGTTTTAAAGCTTAAAGAGTCGCTGCGACAAAAATTTAAGAAAATTAATATATTAACTTTGGCTTCTCAACACATTTATGAAAATGTAATGTACGTACACAAAAATGAAATTAGTTTTACAAAAATAAGTGATATTCATTCTGTAAATACTAGGAACAGACACAAGCTAGTAGTACCAGTTACTCGACTCCATCGAGTCAGTAATTCATTCTTGGGGCGATGTATACGCTTTTTCAATAAAATTCCAGAAAGTATACAAAGTTTGACCTGCTCAAAGTTCATAATTTGTTGTGTTGTTAATTTGTGTAACATCAAGATTGTAAGCTGTTATTTAAAAAAAAATCCCGCTGGGTTTCTTGCTGGTTCTTCCCAGGACAGAGGTTTTTTCCGAACCAGTGGTAATCAAACAAAAGAGTGACTTTCAATAAGTATCATTTATAATCTATACTGAATAAAAAAGTTTATGTTTCTGTTTCTGTTTCAAAATTATTTTATTTTCATTTTCGTGACAACCTACGCGTGCGGCGGCATCGCCTGACATCAAAGGCGTTTCTTAACTGTAAGGCCTTTAAACTATACTATTATTTTACTCTTGTACGAAAAATTTATTCCTCCCTCCTCGATAAATGCAAAACTTAAAAAAAAAAGTCTATTCAAAACTTTATAAGGACACGTAAATGTCCGCTTTCATTTCTCACTTATTTGATGGATAATACGAAATATCGCTATCCCTTAAAAATAAAACTCTAATTTCAGTAAATTCCATATAGTATTTAATAACAATCTTAAACTATTTTACACCAAATGTAGTGTTTTAATCAGAGTCATCATCAATAATCACCCTAGTCTTCTTCCTTTTCGCCGGCAAAACTATTTCTTCGTTCAGCTCATTTTCACTGTCGTCTGAAACAAAATTTGTATTGAAAGCTTTTCTAGCAAATATTGGAAGTCATATTCCAGTGAAAGCTTTTAGATAGTGAGCCATCTACGCCAGACATAAGTGTCATTGTGTTACTTCAAAGAGAAAATAAAATGAAGTGTTCAAATGTATTTTCATCAGGGATTGAAAAGATATATTTCCCATTACACCTGAGTAATTTTAGTATGTATGGAGTCAAAAACCTCTCAAGGGCTGAAGATCAACGAGCCATAAATATGCAGCACAATATGTTTGGTAGCTCTTCTTATTTGCTATCAATATAATGAAATAAAAAAATGAGTTTTTAGGTATGCTTCTGGAACACGTCTTCGTGTTGTTCCTTCTGTAGTCAGTGTTTGGTGCAAGTAAATATAATTTCGAAGAATCGATCATGTAATAAAATTCGTCATATCCTCATATTACCCAATTTCGTCCAGGAGACGTCGTAAGAGGCGACTATGGGAAATAATAAAAAAATCTCAGGTATGACAACTCGTTTACACTAAACATATAATAGCAGGCAACGGGCAGCATCTTCAAAGACGTCCTGAAAAGCGCAACGAAAAAGGCAAATGCCTCCCTATAACGGGATGGAGGATTACCGTGTAGTAGCGGAGTAAAGAATAACCACTATCCCATATCATCCCGTGGGTATCTTAAGAGTCGACAGAGGGAAACAAATCTAGAGATGGGCAGCACCGTCTTCCTAATAACGTCTAAAATAAAAAATAAACTGCGGTTGCCAAACCGCTTGCCAAACGTGGCAACTATGACAAATAGCCCTCCTATGAGGTAACCTATGGATTTTAATGGACTGATTATATGAATAATGATATAAATGGGTTAAAGAAAACAAATCTGCACAACCAAGCCAAATTATTCAACGCTCATAGCTCGTACTGACTTTTCTTAATACAAATATGGCTGACAAAGAAGCACACGCGCCACCTAATAATAAGTAAATGCTTTAATAATAAATAAGTGGTTCCCTTTATTAATAATCATAAAACTTACTTATGATTATTAATAAAGAATAAAAAGGGTCTCCAGTTTTTGTCACTTCCCATACGAAACACAGTAGCATGTTGCTGCTATTTCACGCTAGGAATTCTGCGAGAGCATGGCCTTCCCCGGTTGAGCCAACCCATTTGGTCAATTGTTACAGCCATAATAAATCTATAAGAAGATTAAGACAACCCTTACCAGTATCATGTTTAGGTATGTTACTTAGAATATCTTCTGTGTCAGGCTCGTCGCGTTGAAGCGTCTTCTTAGCGAAGGACAAAATATCTTCATCACTGTTCTGTTCATCAACCTCGTCTATCTTCTGCATCTTTCTGCTAGTATTTTCTTCATCACAGCTACGACTGCGTTTGCGACCGCTTGCTTTATTATTATTTCCACTTTTAGTTATATTTGTTTCTAAGTTATTATCACGCAATTTACGTAAACTATCGAACAAATCTTCGTCATCGCTTGATTCGTTATTAGTTTGTTTATTTTCCGTTTTGTCCTCAGTTACTGCGGTGTTTACTATCTCATCAATTATAAGTTCTTTGTTAACTGCTTTGACTATTATTTCTCGTCTTTTTCTTAATGTTTCGTGATGAAGTTGACTAGGTATTCTCCAGTATGTCTCCTAAAAATATCTCGATAATGCCATAAAATCATTTAAAAAGAAGCAGTAATATGAAGTAAGGCTGGTCGATTTAGTTAGTTTAATTGATGAGTTGTGATTATTAGCCTATTATGGTCTTTATTTCTGGCATATCATCATCATTACAGCCCTTCCCAAGTCCGCTGCTGAACATAGGCCTCCCCCAAGGAATGCCACAAAGCACGGTCCTGAGCCACCTCCATCCATCGACTTCCTGCATATCTTACCAGGTCGTCACTCCATCTAGTGGGGGGACGCCTAACACTTCATCCGCCGGTACGAGGCCGCTACTCGAGAACCTTTTTTCCCATCGGCTGTCGGTTCTTCGAGCTATATGGCCGGCCCATTGCCACTTCAGCTTACTAATTCGTTGGGCTATGTCGGTCACTCTGGTTCTACTGCGGTTATCCTCATTTCTAAGTTTATCACGCAGAGAAACTCCGAGCATAGCCCTCTCCATAGCTCGCTGAGCGACCTTGAGCTTCCTCATCCGGCCAGCAGTGAAGGACCACGTCTCAGTACCATAGGTCATCACTGGCAACACGCACTGGTTGTACAGTCTTGTTTTCAAGTTTTGAGGTACACCTGACGAGAAGATGTGCCGTAATTTCCCGAACGCTGCCCCACCGAGTTGAATCCGTCGATTGACCTCTCGGTCGAAGTTGGACTTACCTAGTCGGACTTTTTGTCCCAGGTAAACATACTCGTCAACAACTTTGAACTTAGTGCTCCCAAAAACTACCGGCATAGGTGTGACATGGACATTAAACATGATCCTTGTTTTGTCCATGTTTATCTTAAGACCTATCCGTTGGGAAACACTATTGAGGTCATTGAGCATAGTGCTTAGGTCCTCCAGTGATTCTGCCATAAGGACTATATCGTCGACGAATCGAAGGTGAGTGATGTACTCGCCATTGATGTTAATACCGTATCCTTTCCAGTCCAGAAGCTTGAAAACGTCTTCCAATGCAGCGGTGAAGTTTCGGGGATATAACGTCACCCTGTCTTACACCTCTCTGCAATTGGATAGGCTTTGTACTCTGGTTCTGTACTCGGATAGCCATCGTAGCCCTACTGTACAAGCACTTCAGCACTTCGATATACCGACAGTCAACCTGGCATCGCTGAAGGAACTGCAGCACCGCCCAAATTGCGACGGAATAAGAGGCTTTCTCACAGTCCACATACGCCAGGCATAGTGGCAAATTGTACTCCTCGGGACTTCTGTACAATTTGCCGAAGGGTGTGTATGTGGTCTATGGTGCTAAAGCCTTTTCGGAAACCGGTTTATTCGGGAGGCTGGAAGTCGTCGAGTCTGCGCGCGAGACGATTCGTAATGAATCTCGAAAACAGCACGTAGACGCGGCTCAGAAAGGAAATCGGTCTGTAGTTCTTCAAGAGAGCGTTGTCACCTTTCTTGAAGAACAAGACCACCGCACTTCTGCTCCACGCCTCCGGTGTAGTGCCACCACTATCATTCTGGCATATGATAGAATAAAATTACATAGATTCTATTATTAATTTATGATTAAAATTAGTGTGTATACTTTTCTTATTGTATATAAATAAATCTCAGTCTTAATACGTATTTGTATTTATCATTAACAATAAGATTCGTTAAAGTCTGTTTATTTTACCTGTTCATCAGCAGGTGGCAATATCCCGACTCCTTTTAAAACTTTTTGAAACAATTCATTCTCCATGGCCTGCACGGAATCATCGCCTATCGGCACCAGGGGAGTTCCTTCCGCTGTGGGGTCGTACCCTTCCGCTTCTTGGTCTAACGCCACCTCTTCGAGATTCTCTGCTAGCCATCTTAAAGCTTCGGCAAAACCTGACCAAAGTAAATAATGATGATATTTGCCCGCTTAAGTGCTAAAGATGAGAAAACGTAAAAAGTAAAATAAAATGGTGTGTAGTTTAAAGACTTGTAACCTTTTAACTAAGAAATACGTTGGTTACAGTGATGTTGGTTGAAGTGGTATTGGATGCAGTAGTGTTATGTGTAAATGTGTTGGATCTTCTACACCCAACACAACTACACACAACGCTGCTATGTTAGTGGTGGCAGTGATAGTAAACGTGAGTGTTTTATATTTACACACTGATCTCAGCGAAATATTTGTGTTATTTTTAATGAAGTGAATTTCCACATAGTAACACCTGATTGTATTAATTATAATATTGCACAAATGGATCCACTAAGACTCTTTTTAACTAACCTGTGACCGAGGTAACACTATAACACTAAAGATAAAAGGTACAGTGTCAAATGCAATAAAAATAATAATTTTAATTTTAAATATTTTTTAATTAAAATAATTAAATATTCAAAAAATTATGAAAATTTCTATTATTTGCACAAATGTTCTTTTGGTGAATAGAAGACTTATTACTTTGGAGAGGCAGCAGCATCCTCCTTATAATTGCTAAAGGACAAAAACTTATTGCCAACCCGCCTGCTAAGCGGGCCAACTATGGCAAATACATCACATCATAGCACATTGTGCATTAGGGAACAATAGATAATTTTAGTACTACAAAATATTTCAAGAAAAGTTGTAAATTTGAGTCATTTGGCTCGAGCCTCACTTTAACATTTAATATCAAAATAGGCAAATTATGTAACATCTTGTGATGTCACCTCGGTATTGACCCGTCCATAATTTTAAATTAAAGAAATAAATTAAATGTGATAAAAGCTATAATTTTTTTAATATATGTATTTCTCTGTAGAACCATTGGTATAAATGTTGCGCTTACTATAATAATTGTTAACGCTAACAAAAAACTATAAAAATTAATGATAATGGCATATTATCTAATTGGCCAATGTTCAGCAGTAGACTTGGGAAGGCCTGTGATGATTATGATGATGATGATGATGAACTAAAAGTCAACGTGACATCGTGATTTCATACATTTTTCTAGTTTTCTATTAACGTTAACGATTGTAGAATGTAAACTTAGCTAGCCCGGCTTGACTGTAAAATTATAAGCATTTAGATGGTTTCCAATTGAGAAAAATAATATCGAAAATAGACAGTAAAGTATAAAGTTTATACTTAATTGGATTTAGAGATTTTTTTAGATAATGGTGGCTTATTGTATGAAACTCTAAACTCGCAAGATAACTTCGCCTTGTCTGTATATTTTATAATAAAAACATGCACATAAGCTTTTTTGCATATACCGCATACGCATTCATATACGCAAAACAATCATAGTTTCAAGCAACTTACCACTATCAACTGATTGGACTAACAACGCAGCAATTTTATTAGCACTAAGTTCGAAATTTTTCGTCGGCCTTTTATTAGCACGTGCCTCGGGTTTCTTCTTCTCTGCCTTCTTGACAGGTTTTTTAATTTTAAGAGGTGATCGTACTTTGACATTGCTGTCAGAATCACTTTGATCTGAAGATTCAGAATCTGATGAAGTGCCTGTAACAAAGTCAATGTACAAAAGAAAAGGAAATAAATAAAATTCATTTGATATGCGATATTTTGCTAGAGAGACCCAAACTCATAAGTCAAAACAAGAAGACTTTAACCTTAATTTAAAAAGAACGTAATTAAAAGCCTTCAGACATCCTACTGTTGGACACAGGCTTTTTCTTAATTCTGAGAGGACATCACGTGTTCTAGATTTTTTAAATACCTCAAATATAGGCGTTCCCTCACTGTTAAGCACGTGATGAACTAGCACATAAAATTGCAATTAACTAATTGTTAATTGCAATTTTATGTGCTTATATTTATGTATTTTATGTGTAATAAGCACAGCGCACCATTTATACTGCGAGGGTATCGACTCTTCGCTCACCAACCCACCAACCCAGAACACGGTGTACGAATGAATAGGTCTTTAAATTGTAAACTTTAGAGGAAATTCCCATAAATCAATTCGCTCTAGTTTAGGGAGAAACCTTACCATTTTTATTATTTTTTGCAGTTCGAAATACAAAGAAAAATATTTCTCTTTTACTTTTTTGGGACATTATTGTGAGTCTTTTATTAATTCTATCTGTACTATGAAAAGCTTCTATTGTGCAAAACTCAGAAGTTTTTGTTATCAGAACGGCAAAGCAAACCTTAATTTTTGTAAAGTTCTTACTCTATCTTTTACAATACTCTAACTTTTTCAATACTGAAGCCTATTCGTTCGTGGACAAAACAGAAAATTTTTGATTTCGTTGCCTTTCTTTACAGTGTGCAGCGTAGTGACAATGAGCAATACTTTTCAAAATGTCATTAAATGCGCGCCTGATACCGCGTCCTATATTCAACGATAGTCCTAAAATGTTGAAAATGTAAATACAACTCACCATCGTCGGACGTATCTTTATCGTCGCCGGTGCCCTTACTCTTCGTCTGCTTTTGTTTCCGTTTCCTGCATTGCTTTTTGTCCTGTATGAGATCTAACTCCAAAAGTCTCTCAACATAACTGCGCCTTGGACGTTTTCGGGGCATTCGTGGTATTATTAATCCCAAAGGATCTGTACAAACACATTAAAGTTGTAGGTCCAAAGAAATGTGCTAAAGCAGTTTTCTATAGAAACTCGTAAAACTGTCTTTGCCGGCCAAGTACTACAAGTCCAAAAACTACACATCATGTTTTTGCACTCTTGCAAATCCTACACATTTTAAACACTTTAAGCGCAGGTCGCCCATTATTTCAGTTTTCATTTTCGTCATTATAACTTTGTTCCAATTTGGGTGTGCGATAAAGTATTTGTTGTGTTGATAAAATAATTGGAGTCGTGAGCCAATATGTCTAGTACAACAGATGGTTTAGAAATATATGTATGTATAACTAGGTACGTTACTATACCATCGTGAAGTACGGCAGATTCATATCAGCGTTGTTAAGTTTGCTATACAGGGTTATTTTGCAATAACCAGTCAAATTTGCGGAGAAGGTTCAGAATAAGTAATATAGGAAAATCTCAGTAATTGTCCTTTTTAACTTTTAAATTCAAAATTCGTGGTAATGCATTATTTTAACTAATTTTACTGCGCACGCATACATTCGTAAGGGTCGATCGGTAGGCAAAAACGTTGTTGTTCGTAAATTACATTCTATTTGGGAAAATTTCTAATAAAAGTAAGGAAACATTATTTACTCGTATTTTCAAATACTGCAATAACGGTATATTATTATTTTTATATATTTGAACTTAATTTTAAAATATGACTACACTTTGAAAAATAACCCTGTATGTCCGCTATTGTGAAATAAATGTTCGTGCGTAAATCGCCTTTATCCTGTGTTTAAGAAATAATAAGTTTTTCATAGTTATAACAATGTTGGGATTTAGCTTACTGACCTACTTAGTACTTACTATCTATCCACCTCCATCTTAATTTTAATGTACCTATATTTTTTTTTAAAAAAGACTAAACTATATGTACTAGTATAACGAACGTATAACGAACTAGTACTCGTATAACGCCATTACGATTAATGCTATTGTACTAAATTAACAACTAAAAATTTCACGAAATGTAAGGGATGTTGTGGTGTTCTTTGGTGAAGCCCTATATGCAGTAGTAGACTTGTGATGGCTTGTAATGATGACGGTGATGATGATGATTTGTAAAATGCTAAAAACATATAGTCCTATACAAAATCAAAATCTAATTTCAAATAAGTAAATATTTTTATATACATCGATAATCGAAAATTTTTTTTACCTGGTGAATCGCCATACTGTTTCCACAGATCCGTGAGCAAAGCATCCTCTTCTTCAGAGAACTCCTTGGGTACTCGTTCTTTGAGCCTTTCCTTGTTACTTCGCTTCGTTGGTGCCTTAAATATCAAACCGAGCTCCTTCAGCTTCTTGATAACGCCGCGCCTGGTTCTGGTTTGATCAATTAAGTTCTCCAGAATCCAGTCAATTACGTCTGTACGGGATATTTTGGGATTAACATAAAATGAAGAACTAATCTAATAAAAATGCTGCAAAATTTTTAAGCTAATATATTTTTATACAAGTATTGCTAACGAGCGAGTACACAATCCATCTGCAGGTATAATGATGGTAAATCGTAAATGCTATGGTCTATAGACACCTATTTATCCTCCATTAAAAATCTAAATGTAAATTCGCTGTGACCCCTGAGGATTAAGATAGAATTGCCAGAAAATTTGTCTCTGACTCAACACTCAGCATAATGCGCCTGATTTGCTTTTACACTGGTATTTCTTGCGAGCGTTGTGCTTCCTTGGTCAAGGCGACCCATTCGTGATGCAGATGCAGCCATAATACAGCTGAAACGAGGCTCAAGCATGTAAATAAAATTATTCTGAAATCTTAGCAAATATTAATATCTGTTTTTAATCTGTTCGTTATGCCATGCTAGTCTACCAACAGTGAAAACTTCAAATAATAATGTCGTCGGAAGGAAAGCGTGTACCTTTTTCCGTAGTAGGATTTGTTTGATTCTCCATAAATAGCTTTCGTAGTTCTTCTTCTTGCTCTTCAGTCCAAACGCCTTTGCCCAACTTGTCTCTGTCGAAAATTATAGTCCTGGTTTTTACCTTACTCAACCAAATGCAATATTAGTGTGCGTATCTTCGACTTTATGAGCCTATGTTATCCACTGCTGGGAATAGGCGTTTCCAGATCGCGCCCGATATGTACCAGAAGTATGTACACGGTATGTAACAAAAAAATCATATATTTTATTATTGAGTTGAAACAGCTCTGTAAGCTTTTATTTAAATTAGACAGTTATTCTCTCGTTTGCACAGGATAAAATATAATAAATCATGAATTTGTTCCCATCTACCTGTAACTCCGCTGTGCTGAGCCGTGGCAGCTCTTGAGCGAAGATCTGAAGGTAATTTGACAGTACGCGGGCAATCCGGGTTCAGCGAAAACTATTTGTCCCATCTCTACCCGTATCTGCGCTGTGCTAAGCCGTGGTAGCTCAGGGGCAAAGCGCTCAAGGTAATTTGACAGAACGCGGGCAACCCAAGTTTGATCCTGGGTTAGTTAAACTTTAAGTCCCGATATACTATGCGTTCCACGGTGAAGAAAAACACATTGAATAAACTGCATATCTGAGGTATAAATATATTATTACAAATAAGTCTGCTAACATGTAGACAACAACGCGGCGGACTGCTCCTTGGAAATGAGAGGAGGCATGTGCCTAGCATTGGGAAGTATATAAGCTGTACGTTTAATTATTTTATACGAGTGTCTATTGATTACAGGTAAATGGTATTTTTTTTTTACTTATTATAAGCCAATACATGACTAAAATCCCTCCTGCTAGTAAGTTGTGGTGAAACCCTAGAACGCTAGATGGTAAATCGCACTATCATAGCGTAATAGTCTTTTCACTCTTGCCTTGAAGTTATATAGATAATAATATGACAGTGACAAACAATTCATCTGACGGTAAGGAAAGTATTGAAAAATAAGTGCAGGGACCAATTTATTTAGAATAGAATAGAATAGAATAGAATATTTTTTATTCAATATACATTACATGTGTAATTCTTATTGAAAGTCATTCTTTACTTTACCACTGGTTCGAAAAAACCCTCTGTCCTGGGAAGAACCAGCAAGAAACCCAGCGGGACTTTTTTTTAAAATAAATTTTACAATATAAATGATTACGAACTATTTACAAAATTTATTTTAGAAACTGCTTGGAAGCGATCACCTCATTCCCAGGGGTTATTATCAACCATGTATTCATTTATACTATAATAACCCTTTTTATACAGTTTCAGCTTAATAAAACATTTAAACTTGGTAATAGAGAGAACCTGTACACTTTCCGGGACCTTGTTGTAATAGCGTATACATTGCCCCAAGAATGAAGTACTGACTCTGTGAAGTCGAGAAACTGGTATCACTAGCTTGTGTTTGTTCCTAGTGTTTACAGAATGTATATCACTTTTTTTACTGAAAATATCTTTTTTTTTGTGAACATAAATTAAATTTTCATAAATATACTGAGAGGCTAAAGTTAATATATTTATTTCTTTAAATTTATCTCTAAGAGACTCTCTCAGTTTTTGATTGTAAACAGCTCTAATAGCCCTCTTCTGTAAAACAAAAATAGTTTCTGAATGAGCCGCATTTCGCCATAGCAAAATCCCATAAGTCATTATGCTATGGAAATAACTGAAATAAACTAATCTAGCTGTCTCGACACTAGTGAGAACTCTAATCTTTTTTACAGCATAGGCTACAGAACTTAGTCTGCTTGCTAATTTAGATATATGGGGGCCCCACTGGAGCTTTGCGTCAAGAGTGATGCCAAGAAACACAGTGGATACAACAGGGCTCAATTCCTCCCCATTTAAAAGCACATTGGTATTCAGATTTTTAACATTCGTTGTTGTAAATTTAACACAATTAGTTTATTTTCGTTCAAATGCAGATTATTAACGTTAAACCAATGCACTAATTTTGATATAGCATTATTCACTTCGTCACATTTAAATGATTGACGTTTAAGTTTAAAAATCAAGGAAGTATCATCTGCAAATAATACTATATCATGACTATCCCCTACAAGGTGAGGTAAGTCATTAATATACAGTCCCTGGCCATATTATTAGACGCACTATAAGATTATATGTAAAATCTTAATTCTCAGGTTATACTATACGGCGTTATTGTTTTTACTAGATGCAATGTAAATTTTTTTATTATTCACCTTATTATCTGTTTATAACACAAATAAAACATCATAATCATATAAAAATATGTATTTATAAACTCTTGAAAAAATTTTAAATGAATGCAAAAGAATGTTAATATTTTGTTGAGCCACCTTTAGCCGCTATGAGAGCTTCAATTCTGCGCGACATGCTATCAACTGTTAGACTGTACTGTCTCCTGCGTTTGAGGATGATGATTCCACACATGAATAATCTTTTCTAAGAGTTGAGTTTTGTTTGTGATGACATCTTTAGCCACTTCTCTCTTCATCAGCCCCCACACATTTTCAATAGGATTCATATCGGGACTATTACCCGATCAATCCAACAGAGGGATATTTTGCTCTTCCAAAAAAACCCTAACAGACAGTGCTGTGTGACAGGGAGCTCCATCTTACATAAAACTGAATGGTTTCCCATTCGAAAACCATTCTCTGAGCTGCGGAATCAATCGATTTTGTAAGACTTCTTTGTACTGTTCTTGCCTCATTATACCTTTTACAACGTACAGACGTCTGGACCCTTGCCGCTGATGACTGACCAGATCATCACTTTAGTAGGGTGCTTAAGAGTCTGAACGGCACAGTCAGGATGAAATTTTTCTCCATGACGACGACGCACAAACAAAGCTTTATTCCGCAAAATTTCAAACGTGCTTTCATCGCAGAAGCAGACCTGTTAAGAATAGTAAAAATTAATAAACATCCTAAACGTCTGTGCTGGTTTTTCTTTATTTCATAGAAAATGATATTAAATGTATCATTTGTGATGAAATTATACTAACTTACCGATCTCCAGAAGTCCTCACCTTTATCACGCCACTGTTTGGCCCACTTCAGATTCTTTGTTTTCATTGCTGCTGTTAACTTGAGCTTCCTGGCGGGGCGGCAGGTCGTAAAATCTAAATCTTTTAATTTTGTTTGAATAGTGCCCTCAAAAACATCCCCATTAGCATCTTGGAGTTGCGATTTTATCAGTTTTGTGCTTGCAAATCTGTTTTCCAGGCAAACTTTTCTAACAACATCTTTCAGTCTTTGGAGTAAAAATAGGCTTTCTGCCGCATCATTTCTTTTGTTTCGGGCTCAATTCGTCTCCTGACTCAATTTTCTTGTTTATGCGTCGTACGCTAGCTTCAGAAACCTGCAATCTCCGTGATATTTCGTGGTTAGAATAACAATTTAGCATTTACGAGGGCCCTTACTTCAGCTTTTTTTACGAGATGAAAGATCGCCTTTTTTACCCATGATTAAAATGTTCCAATTGATTATTTAAACACTGTACACTAAGTAAACAAACAACTGCGTAGTATAAAACTGCTAAACAAATAAATACAGCGCATAAAGCCACAGAAACACGTCCACAACTAAAGCACGCGAGAACGCTATTGAAACGGATTTGTTCTTGTTTACGTTCGTGTGTCATTTGGTTATCATTTTAATGCAATACATTTAAAATAAATTCAAATAGGGAATATATAAAACATCTCCAGAATGAAAACACATTAAATGTATATTTAAATATAAAAGTATGCCATATAAACTCGTGCACAACATATAATTATTAAAAAACTACAGTGCGTCTAATAATTTGGCCAGGGACTGTACACCAGAAACAGGAATGGGCCGAGAATTGAGCCCTGAGGAACACCCATTAGTACAGGTGACCCGGAAGAACTTTTACCAATGATAGTAACCTTCTGTTTTCTATTAATTAAATATGAAATAATAAGTTTAAGCGCTGTGTTCTTGACACCATAGTACTGTAGCTTCCTGATTAATATCTCATGGTGAACACAGTCGAAGGCCTTGGAAAGGTCACAAAATATACCCAAAGCATCCTCTGAATTCTCCCATGCACAAAAAATATGTTTAATAAGCTCAACTCCAGCGTCAGTTGTCGAGCGACCCCTTGCAAAACCGAATTGATTTTTATGTAGCAATTTATTAATATTGAAGAAACTTAACATCTGATCTAAAATAATTTTTTCAAAAATTTTACTTAATGTTGGTAGTACAGAAATTGGTCTAAAATTGGCGGGGTCTAATGTACTACCAGATTTAAATATAGGTATGACTTTACTATGTTTCATTAAATCAGGAAACACACCAGATTCGACGCTTATATTAAATATAGTGGCTAGATAAGGTGCTAATGTATCTATTATAGATAAAATAACTTTAACGGAAATCCCCCATAAGTCTGCCGTTTTCTTAACATCAATAGTTTTAAAATATTTAACGATATCTTTTGGCAGTACCCTATGGAATTTAAAAGTATTTGAACAAGCCTTTACATTTTGTTTGAGCAATGATTCGGCGACAGTAGGAGAAGAATTTAATGATTTTGTTGTCAAAAAAGGAACATCAGTAAAATGTTTCTCAAAAGCCATAGCAACTTCTTGATCAGATCGCGTTAAATTATTGTTAATTGAAAATCCGACTTGCGCGGTTTGACCTTGCCCGTTTCACTATTTATTATTCTCCAGGTCATTTTAATTTTGTCGGATGCAGTTTTAATTTTGTTGCTTAAATGTAAAGCCTTAGCAGTGGAGCACACTTTTTTAAATATTTTAGAATATGTTTTTACATAATCTCTAAATATAACACTACTATTATATGATCTTTCATCATAAAGCTCGTATAACCTTCGCCTACTTTTATAAATTCCTACTGTCGCCCATTCATTAAATGATTTGCGACTGTTAAGAGAGAAAGTTTTAGAAGTAAATATTCTACTAAATTCACAACGTATGATTTCAAATAATGTAGCATACAAATAATTAGCACTCTTTTTAAACGAAAGCGATGGAAGTCTTTTTATTATATTACTTCTAAACCTCTCCAAGCGATGTTCATTTATTGGAACAAACACAACTTTCTTAATTTTCTGTTTTTTGTGTATGTAAGGTAGTGATACTAACTGTCCACAGTATTGTAAATGTTGAGTTGAATATGTATCAGTTTTTTTAATTTAATTTTAAAAGTTGTTACCTCCGCATTCAAGACATTTTTCTTGTATAGTATAGGTGTTTTACATACATCGATTGCATATAGATAAACATCCCGACTCAAAACAATTATTTGTAGGCCATACAAATATTTTTCGGGCGTACTCTTGCAGCAATAGAATAATACATCCGGCGAGTTGACAATATCCGATAGTGTAGTTTTTGACAACACAATGCTGACGTCGAAATACCTCCATCTCAAACTTAATACTAGCGTTACTTTGGCGTGGTACTCAAACTACGAGTATATATTCATACGAGTATAAATAAAATTTAAGTATCTATCTGAAATATCTAAATAACTGCTTTTTATTGACCAGAAAGGGTTATTTGGATTGGAAATTTGTCTGTCTGTATGTCAGTGTCATTGTACAGTCTAATCTTAGGAATGGCTGAACCGATTGCAATAAACCTTCACAGAGAGCAATACCAGGAGTGATGTATGCTTTATTTTTACCCCGAAAAAAGGTATAAAATAAATAGTTTTTGATTATCTTAAATCCAAATAATGCCACGTTAATAAATCCTACCCAGTGGAAACCCGAGCTGGTCGCTAGTTAGTAATAAAAATAAATAATAATTTTAATAAAAGGAACAGTATGACTATCTGTCGTGGGTCGCTGTACAACGTCGATCACGACGACTACTAACAACCATTTAAGTGACAACTGCCCAAATACACAAACGCTACTCAATTTTAAGACGCCATTAAGTCTCGTGCTGTTTCTCTCACTTCAAGTCAAAGTGACTGTGACCACACGAGACTTTACGACATCTTAAACTTGAGTAGTAGCACTTGAGTATTTGGCCTTTTTGAGAAAGCTTATGTTTCTTTATTAGCCTGCAAAAGTCCACTGCTGGACGCTCCTCTCTTGAATTTGCAATAGTCTTCTCGCTCGGCTGGCGGACTGACGATCGCAGTACCAGACGTCTCGTACTTTCGACGCTACTTCCCGTCACCGTCCTGAATTGTTCCGCTCTGCCGTAAACAGAATGTTTATACCATTGTCTATCGAAAGCCAAAAGGACTTACTGGTATTTTCCATAGTCACCTCATACGAGACCCACGGGACAAAATGTGATGTTGGACCTTCTTACGCCATCATAACATAGCAACCTTACCACTAGATATATTATTATATTAATAACACTCCATAGGTATATATTTTTATATTGATTATGGACAGCCCTAAAAAGAGTCAAACGAGTAAACAAAAAGTCAATATAACTCCCGCCTCCATTTAACATAAATTTAAAGTTTTATGTACTTACTTTTGGTCGCTGTAGAGGTCGTAGCCGTGTTCTATTTCGATGGAGTCCTTCGATGACTTCCAGAACAAAAGCTCGATAAACACTTTGGGATTTTTCGACGCGATCTGAGCGAACTTTCGAAAGATGAACAGCGCAAACTTTTCCAACTCCTGTTCAAACACGAGGATCATTTGAAATTCTGCGAGCTGCGAACTTTGTAACAACCCATTCAAACCTGAAGGGCTATGTTTAAACAACAAATTTATCTTATATTATTTCGTTATTTTCGTAAAGTATATTTTATACGAGTACTTTAGTTTCCGTTAACAAAATGTAATAATAATTTATCATTTTAAAGTTTTCTATATTTTTTTGTAAGTACTAAGTTTGGTAAATATTATATGAACATTTATGATCGCTATGGAGAGGACTATGCTCGGATTTTCTCTGCGTGATAGACTCAGTAATGATATACACATTATAATTTGAGTAATCGACATAGCCCAAGAGATCAATAAACTGAAGTGGCCATATGACGGCCATAACTCGGAGAAACTAACAACCGTTGGGGTGAAAAGGTTCTCGAATGGCAGCCTCGTACCAATAAGCGAAGTGCAGGGGGCCCCCACTAGATGGAGTGACGAGCTGGTAAGAGACGCAGGAAGTCGATATATGCAGATCTTTTGTGACTTACCTTGTGGTAGGCCTATGTTCAGCAGTAGACTGGTGTTGGGCTGTAATGATGATAACGATGATAGTTACTACACAGTACAAAGTGTGATGTTTAGGCATTTTCGTGGTGGTTATTGTGACCTCTATCTAAATACGAGAATTATTAAGCATTTCTTAGTCAACATTTTGTCCATGTTTTCTCTAACAATGAACATACAGGTTATTAACAATAACAGAAGACAGAAAGTTAACAATTCGCAATGGAGAGCAAAGGAAAAGTGGTTTTTAATGTACAAACCTTGAAATGCGGCATCGGATTATGGAGTATCCTCTGGAAAGTCAGGAACAAAGTGGCTTGGAACATCATGGAGGGACGCGAGCAGTCCCAGGCGATGCGATGCAGCATTTTCAGTATGCAATGATTGATGTGGGCAGAGTTGCGCTCATAGCGCTCCAGAAGTGACACACACGCACTTACTACTCGAGGATGACAAAACCTTACAAGAAATTAATTAAATGTTAATTAGATAAGATCTACATGCACAAATTTCGCGATTTTGCACGCGGATCTTAACCAAAATTATTTTCTCATTTCTTATATAATAGATTTCTACAAAACAACACTTGATTCTATTAATTTTTTTTATAGGACGGGACTGACAAACGGGCACACAGATTAAGAATCAAAATGCAGAAGCGTTGTCACCCGTGAGGACTAAGATGGAATGCCTCGTTTCAAGTAAAAAGGGTATCCAGTTCTCTACACTCACCATACAAAATAGAGCAGCACTATAAGCTGCTATTTTACGTTGGTATTCTGTGAGAGCGTGGTCCTACCCCGGTCGAGCCGATCCATTCGTGCTACAACGATAATACCCACATCAATAGAAACTAGGGATATCTTAATCCTAAATTATTTACGACATAATAATTTAAAATCTTTTTAGTTTCCATAAAAAGTTTATATACAGATTGTAACCCTCTTTTATTCTTTTTCAAAATTTAAAATCGTAAATTAAAAAATACAAAATAAAAAACAAAATACGGCGGCAAAATTGTTAGTAACTCGTTACGTCACTGATTTTTTTTTCCGTGCCGTGGTGCCGTGTGAGCTTTAAGAGTCATATCATGTCCTCATTTGAGTCGAGATGAAATGTTACGAGCCGTGAGCATGTTAGAAAATGGTGCTACAAACCAGCCAAAACCTGATATCAAAGTTGGGATCACATTATCGCAGTACTAGGGATGTGGCTGAACGGCACCGGGTAGATATCGTGTTACTACGCAGAGACAGGATCGATTTTTCCAAATGACCGCCAGAAGACAACCCAATATCACAGCGATGAAACTACTACAGACTCCAGGAGGACCACCAGCTGCTGGTAAGCGACCAAATCATGCGAAGGAAGTTCCATGAAGTTGGTCTTCATGCTCGAAGACCGCTTCGTGTGCCAGCATTGCGACGTGGCAATCACGGTCGGCGGCTTTCGTGGGCTCGCAAGCAAGCGCAAGGTCGGAAGCAGCATGACTGCACAAAAATACCACGAAGAGGTAGTAGAGCCTGTTATTATCCCACACAGAATCCAAATGGGTCGGGAATAAATAAAACGTGCATCATGTCTAACATTATATTACTTGTAATTATCTGTTTTACTTTCATCCTTTGACATCCGGATCCCAGACGATTGGAATTATCAGAACCAATATCAGACTCACACTCTAAATAACTTTTTGATACTCCACGAAAAATTGTTCTTGAAAAGAAGTTATTAAAGGAAACTACAGCTAGGAAGACTTGGAGATAAATTTAAGAAAAAACAGCGACAAAACAAGTTTTTATAAAAAAAAAATAGTAAGCACGTTTAAAAATATTCGAAACGATGATGAATTAAAGGTCAAATCTGAAGTTATCAGTCGCATTAAATCTTGGAGAAAATATAATATTATATTGTTCGTATATGCCTTATTTACCTACACAAAACTGGTTACTGCCTACGGGGTACTCTTTAATAGCCGATATTACTGCGGAAGGTTAATCTTGATGCTATAAACTAACCACGCCTGGGCGATAGTGGCGCAGATTTTAGTTTGAAATAGCTTTAAGTACTAATGTAGTAATTATACTTCAATGTTTAAAACACAGCAGGTCACCGCAAGCTATTATCACCATGTGAATTTTGTGAACGTTTCCCAATCCAACCTGCATTTTTTGCTGAATCTCGTCGTATATAATTAATCTATTCTCTTCAATTATTATTTTTACCGCTTTCCTTACGAAGCCACCGTCAAAGGGCGACTACTTCTTTCTTCATCTTTCAAAATAAGTAGACCGTGCTGAAATCTGTAAACGCGGATGCTTTAGAAGGGCCTTTATCCATAAATGCCATTTGAGGTCTATCAAACGATTCGTCCGGTTTAAAGCGATTTGAAATCGTAAAAAATCATCGCACGAAAATGTTTCCATCGCAGATCTATTTTTCAATGAATCACGATCTCTTAGCAGAGCGAAATTTGAAATTGGAACATTTATATTTTTACTTGTAAATAATTGTATTTTACAAAATACATTATAACTGACCAGTGCCTCATACAAATCACTGATTTTCACAAAACTTTCTGCGTGGCCTGTTGTAGTTCGCGAATTGTATTTTAGTTAGTAGCTTTGCGTACTTCACTGCAAGTTGAAAAAGATAAAAACTATCAATTATAAATACGAATGCTCATTTGCCACTTAATTTGCAATAAAGAAAACTACTCGCGATAACAACTCGTTTGACACGTGTTTTGTGATGAACTATTTCTTTTTTTTATTTCTTTTAAGGACTTTAGTTTTAAGTTTAAGAGGTCGCCTCTCAAAATTGTGTGGAAAACACCATTTGAAACTGAATCCGAAATATAAAAAAAAACGTGACGAATTACCAGTTCTGTAAATTTGAAAAGTTAATGGGACCAGCCTCTTGTATTTTCTACCGACTTCAAAAGAAGGATGTACTCAATTCAACTCTATGTTTTTTGTATTTTTTATGTGTATCACCTCATATCATTTTTTTGGATGAACCGATTTCGATGATTCTTTTTTTATTTGAGAGCTGGTGCTTCTCATGTGGTCCCACATAAATTTGATCAAGGTCTGGCCAATAGTTTTTGAGTTATTCTTAATAATTTATATTGAAGTCGGTTGTACAAAATTTTAAATTTTAAATTATAGAACTTTTGATTGGATGTATTTTTAAAACTCTTTAAGATAAATATAATAAACATCAACTCTAAGTTCATCCCGAAATCAATAAGTATAACATTACTACTTTCGTATTTCGTTTACAAAGGGAGGGGAAAAAATTGATACTGCTAGGAATGTAGCAATCGTAAGGTAATTAAAAAAAACATGCGTGAGCATCGTGGAACACTCTGTTGGATCGAAGTTCCTTTCGTAGTATATTATTATTTATAAACGTATTATATTATACATTAACAAATACAAATAAATAAATTACTAGCGTCTATTAAAATGAAGCGTCATTTAAAATAAAATAATATTTCTTTCATGGCAAGATAAGAAAAAGTGCAAGGAAGATGGATATTATTCCATCTCACTTCCTTATAGCCGCCAAGGCCGTTTACATTACGTCAGAAGGGGTCGTGTCGGAAAAATCTTACACTTTTTCTCGCCTAGCCCCCCTCCGCCAAATTCGTACCGTCTGATAAGGAACTTTGTTTCAAAATAAATAAATCTATACATTAATACGTGAAGAGATAATTTTCTACACCTTCTTAAGCATATTAAGCTAACGAAAGTGTGAGATTTAGCCTAGTTAAAGTTTTTATGGAGGAGTGCAGAAAGCTTTAATTTATATACAATATGTGTAAAAACATTGTCCTTAGAGTAATTACATACATACGAATCTGTCGTTTGTTTACGTTCAAAGAACCCATGTCAAACCATAGACTTCAATCTTAGTCTGCGGTCAATCAGACGGACATAGCAAAGAGTATTAACATAATCACTACAAACCAATCAGAGTAGAGATTGTTGCCAAATAATTTTAAAATGTTGCCAACATATAATTACTGACAAATTGACCAAATAATCTGTAAATTTATGTAATTTAAAATGTTCCTTGTTTAATAGTCTTTGGAGTGTAAGGTCAGATAAAAAGCCGAAATTCGATCGGAATTCGCAAGCTGTATTTCTTTGAACTGAATATATCTTATGTATATATTTGTTTCATAAATTAATATGCAGTTCAAAGAAATACAGCTTGCGAATTCCGATCGAATTTCGGCCCCTGGACGACGACTAGTGCAAATAAATAAACTTGTACGTGATAGAAATGCGTCGACTCGACTGGGAAAGATCCATGCCCTCACATTAACTGTGCAAAATAGCAGGATAATGCTACCTTTTAGTATAGTGTGTGTGACCCAAACGGGAGATTTTTACTGATATTAAGGCTATCCGTTATAAACCTGAGAGGTAAGAACTAATAACTATTTTGGTCCACAATCTAGGATATATGTAGGCGTTTATGGGCCACAGCATCCATTTTAGTTTGTCCTTTTACTCTATAAATAATCTATTACTTAAAAATTCAATACAAGTGTATTTTCTTTTGAAAGAAACAATTGATTTCAAAAAGAAAATACTCAACTCAAATACACTTTTTTTACGTGGTAGAGCCACGCTACAACTATTTTAGTGGTATAGATGTGGCACGAATGAGTCGGCTCGACCAAGGAAGGACCACGCTCTCAGAGAATACCAGCGTGTTTCGTATGGTGAGTGTAGAGAACCGGAGACCCTTTTTACTACAAACGAGGCATTTCATCTTAGTCCTCACGGGTGACGACACATCTGCATTTCGATTCGTAATAGATGTGGATGTCATGTCTATAGGCCACAGCAACCACTTACCATCAGGTGGATTGTGTGCTCGTTTGTCACCCTTATCATATAATAAAAAGTGAGAGCAATAAAATCACACACCTTGACTTTTTTTATTAAGGCAGTTTTTTTATGAATGTGAATAAATTTTGAAAAAAAAAACACATACACCAATTGAAAGTTTACATTAGTACCTTTCTAATAATATCAAATACAGTGCAAAAACACCCATTAGGGGTTTTAGGGCATAAAATCCAACATACGGGTAAAATTACCCAATTTCGGTTAAGAAAGAATGAAGTCAAACTTAAAATTCTTGATCAAATTGTTTATTAATATGGTGTATCCTCCCCTAGCCTTAATAACAGCTCTTTATCGGTTTTTCATGGACCGTATTAATTTTACTATTAAATCTTGTGGTATAGTGTTCCACTCCTCTTTAATAGCAAGTTGAAGCTCTTGGAGGCGCGTAGGAGCAGGGTTCCTTGCTCGAAGTCTTCTTCTTAGCTCATCCCAGACATGCTCAATCGGATCGATATCAGGACTACGAGCTTGCCCCTCCATCGCGGTAATTCCAACGTTTTCCATGTAGTAGAAAATCTTCTCCCATAAGCCACGCAAGCGGCCTCAAAAGATGTTCTTTGAGCACTTCTTCGACGTATCGTGCAGGCGTCAACCATCTCGATCTCGGCCCGGTATTCGCCCCAGTGATGAATACAAATGTCAGTTTTAGTGTTTAACATTAATAATAATAATAATTGTTTTATTGTTTCTCAATACATTGTCATGCATTACATAAATTGAAGTAGCTCCAGTAAGTTATAAAATACTTGTGTTGGAACTACCTCGCTGCTTCCCTTAAAGCTATCTTACAGTATTGAGACCAATCATTAAACATTATGCCACCCCAAAACATACACGATCCACCTCCAAAAGCCAAACGTTCGCTTATGCTGTATTGTGAAAATCGCTCTGATGTCCTTCTGTAGACATAGACCCTAGAACGTCCATCATGACCATGTAAAGTCATTCTGCACTCATCAGAGAACATAACAGACCATCATTTGTCATACGTCCAATTTAAGTGTTCCATGTCAAATTGTAGACGGGATTGTAGGTGAGCTGTGGTCAATTTGGGACCATTTGTTGGCCGATGTGAGTCAGTCCTGCTTCACCCAGTGTTCTTCTAACTGTTCACCGACTTATACTGACATTGCGAACTTCTCGACGCTGGTGTCGCAGTTCAACCGTGTTCAGTTGCCGATTTCTCAAAGACCTTGTCACAAAAAAGCGGTCATCACGCTCTGATGTTCTGCGTCGCCGGCCAGATCATGGTAGCCGAATGTAGGCACCGGTCTCTTGTAACCTCTGGTATACTCAACGAACAGAGTAGCGGCTCAAATTTAGCTGTCGAGCAACTTCACTTTGATTATGGCCTGCCTCGAGCAAGGCTTTAGGGAAAAGGGGTAAATAAAAAAAAACCGACCCATTATACCTGCAGGTAAGGATGCAAGAAGTGACAACACAAACGGGTGAATTTGGGGAATTTAGTGTACGGTTGGTTTTTATTTATTTAGTTACGTGAAGGTATTTAAATTTTGTGTCTGTGTAAAGCTAAGCTTGTATGCTTTTTTAATTTTGCCAAATCATTTGTACACAATTTAGCGAGATAAGTGGTCTATACAAATAAGTCCACAACACTGACAGTTAAAATGTTTAATTTAATACACAAGCAGGAGATATACAATTTAGCACAAACAAGCAGAAAATACACAAGCCAAGATAAAGCGTTAATAATAAAACTATAGTCTAGAAAAAGCACAATCAATATTCACTGTAATATTTAAGTCTATGGCGAGAACAAAGGAATTGCGCTAGCGAGCAACATGCGTTCCGCGTCGTATCGGTAGATAGACTGGTGAACGCGGTGCGCGGACGCAGGCGATTGTTTTTAAACAGCTGTACTAACGGGATTCCGGGCGGCGCGTTCAACGCCCGGCTGTTGCTACGTGCATTTTTGTTGAGAGTATATAGTGCCGTGTAAAAGTATATACATTATGTTGAGTGTGAGAAATATGTGCGTATGTATCTGTGTAGTTATATGCGTGTGTATATAATGTAGGAAAGTAGCCTACACACAATATCTTTAGATTTAAGAAAAAATCAGTAATAAACCAAAATACAAGGGTTGTGCGATTTTATTGCTCTCAAATGTATTGACAAAATTCAATAATAACATACCTTTGCACAAAGTCCTTAAAATCGAAGTCGGTTTCAACCACAGCTGTTGTATGTTCAGCTTCCTCCTCATCTAAAATTATTTATTTATCTTATTTTAAATAGTTACGAACCGCGCTGGATTAGTGACGCAATTTTTTTTTATAGGATAAGGGTTACAAACGAGCTCACAGTCCACCTGATGGTAAGTGGTTGCTGCGGCACATAGACATCTACATCTATCCTCTATTACAAATCAAAATGTAGATGCGTTGTCACCCGTGAGGACTAAGATGGAATGCTTCATTTCCAGTAAAAAGGGCCTCCGGCCACCTGCACTCACCAAGCGAAACGCAAAGGTAAACCTCTACTTCACGCTGGTTTTCTGTGAGGTCGTGGTACTACCCCGGTTCGAGCCGGCCCATCCGTGCGACAGCAAAAGCTGCCGCGTGGCTCTACCACTGTTAAAAGTGGAATGGAAAAATTGGATCTTAGCCTCCGTCTCTAAGACTAATTACCGATATATTCCATCATCGAGTTTCTTGAAGGAATTGAAATAATAATTCGATTTTTTCTGTCAGTCGGTATCGTTCATGTGTCGTTTAACTATGACTGTCACTATTATCTATCTTTACCGACGCTTATTTTTAACTACTTAAATATGCATGTTAAAGAACATCTCTCTATATTGACCCAGGTTTTTTAACTATTTTATACACACTTGATCTGTATGTATCTATGTGTGAATGTAATAGAATTTAATGATTCGGTTTTCACTCACTGACCGACTTCTGATTTTTTTGAACTTTCACTGCTTTTTTTTTAAATTTTACAGGCGTATTATGGACCTATGATATTATTATTACAATAATTTCATGACTTGTGACCTAGTATTCTCACTAAGATCGTCACTGCTCATGAGCAATGTGCGTTGATTGGTTTTTTAACTCAAATGTCATATTATTCTTCGATTTGATTTCGTTGGTAATATTATTTTGCTTTTTTTTTTCTTTATCGGCGGAACCCTTTTGGGCAAACAGATTAGTTTGATTTAGTGGGGTCAAACCCCTCTCAGAAATGAGAGGAAGCCTGTGCACAGCAGTGGGACGTATATGCAGGCTGTAACTTTAACTTTTGAAGGGGATAAGGCCTATTTATTGTGACTTATATTGACATAATTTAGTAGTAGTTAGAATAGTTACAGGCCGATAAAGAAGAAGCAAAATAAGTAAAATATTAAGAGAGTTAAACAAGTTAAAAGATATGTGAAAATAAAATAAAAATTAAAAATTACGAATTCTGTTACATTACCTTCTTCTTCGTTGTCTAAATCGTCCTGTGATTCATCTTCATTTTCAACTACATCTGTAAAGAAATATTTATAATTATAGTTGAAATTGCTGGCAAAAAATGAATAAATTATAAACATAAAAGATAGTAAAAAAATAATAGGTAGTAAGAATAAAATATAAAAGATAAGATATAAATATAAAATATAATGAACATTAATTAAAGAAGAAACATGTCCCACTGAATTTTCCATTGCCAATTAGTGTTACCGGCGTAGCGACATATTTGGATTTAAAATAATAATAATAACTTTATCTGGCCGACCGCAACATTCACCTTCCAATTACAAAAAAAAACATTGGGTATTTTTTTATAACAGAGAACACCTGCGGGCTTTCGTGCTTTAAGTACCTACTTATAATATATAATAAGCAAAGCAAAACTCCCTCTTCCATCTACCTACCTAAAATCTATACTCAAAAGGAAGTCAAGACATTTGTAATGGAATTAATGAATCTCAAATCAAAAATTTCATAAATATTTTTAAGAATAAAAACGAGCAAGCGGTTCGCACGACCATAATTTCGGGTGCGTAGCCAATCTTTTAGAAAGAAGTCCTTTAATCATATCTTCTATTACGGAAAACTGCTGGCGACAGAAAATTCCACAAAGTTGTCGCGGGTGACAGTATATACTTAGTAAAACGCACGTGGTGATTTTCCAACCATCGATATGATGTAGATAGAATTATGAAATGTGACACAATGTACAATAGTAAAACTTGTTGACTCAGAGTGAATATTTGTTTACTAGAGGAAGAAGCTAGAAGATAATGTACCCTAGTATCCACGACTTAAGGGTACATAGCACGTACACAGCACTTAAAGTACAAATAATTAGATTTTAAAATACGGAACATTGTCCTCCCCCAAAGAATGCCACAAAGCATGGTTTTAAGCCACCACCATACATCGACTTCCTGCATATCTTACTAGTTCATCACTCCATCTAGTAGGAGGCCGCGCTACATTTCGCCTGCTGGCACGAAGCTGTCACTCGAGAAACTTCCATCGATTTGTCGGTTGTTCGAACTATATGGTCGGTACATTGCCATATCAGCTTACTAATCCGTTACGCTATGTCGGTTACGCTGAATCTAATGCGGATATCTTCATTTCAAAGTCTATCACGCAGAGAATAGCCATAGCTCGCGGAATGACCTTGAACTTCCTTATACGGCTATAACAACTACTATAGTGTGAGCGTTTTTTTTTTATATAAGAGGGGGCAAACGAGCATGCGGCTCACCTGATGGTAATTGACTACCGCTGCCCATTAACTACTGCAACACCAAAGGAATTGCAGATGCGTGCCGGCCTTTTAAAACAGAGAAGGCTCTCTTCTCGAAAATCTTATCGTCGTATCGGTCCGGAAAAATCGCGTGGAAGATATGGAGCCACTATGTCAGTATATAATTTTAGTTAAAGATCACTTAAATCGGTTACCTCTCTTTGGAAACATTATATTCCATGCATTAAAAAAAGGAAAGAAAAATAGAAAAGATTCGGTTAGTAATAGATTCATTCACGATAAAGAAAAATAACTAAATTAAAAAATATATAGCATCGCACTTACCATTTATTTCGACGCCTAAATCTGTACTGTAAATAGTTTGCAGCATATCAAGCTCCTCATCCTCAGCGATGCCGATTACGCCGAATATACCTTCTTCTGGCCACACCTCTCTATATACAATACATAACATGTCAGTTTTCAGTATCTTGTCGTATAAGATACTTCGTTATTCGTACTACTATCGTAAAGCTGGGACAAAATTAGTTTATGCTACAGTGTTATATCTCAAAGGGTATCATAGGTTGTTTTTAATCCATATTACTATTATCTTTTTTTTTCTATTATCTTATTATTTATGTATACATAACGCTACTAACTAAGGTAAGGTTTCATTAGTAAATAGATGTATTAAGCCTATAATACCCTCAAGAAAGTTACACAGCATAAATTATATTATAGTGAGTATGATAGCACAGGGATACTATGAATTACAAACCTGGCAGCTCTAAAAGTTCCCACTGCGTCCTCAAATTGGCTTTCACGCATTAACTTCTGGATTTTTTTCATACAATCCTCTCTGTAGATAATACATTATATTAATATGTATAATATATATTAACACACATCATCATTCGTCTAAGGATATTTCACGTTTATTAAAATAACTCTAAAAGTACAGTGCCTTAAAGACTAAATAGTTTTTTTTTAACAATTTTATTTCTAACAAATTTAACGTTTCATTCGATTCTGTTTCTTTTTTATTTATTTTATTTAAAGGATCGCTTTGATTTTGGATTAACTTTCATATTGAAGACATGAAGCACAAAAGTTAATCTCCACCTAGGTCACGTATTACACCCGGGTTATTTATTCTGTGACCCAGGTTGCATGTGTACTCACACATACACATAAATACACGTTTTAATCACTAAATACTTATTTTAGTATAAGGTCACCGTTTTCTTTAATTATAAAAGTCATTTTTAAAGAAATTACAAGATTGCTTTTTAATATGCTGTTAAAGTATAAAACACTGCGCATTTGATATAAGGATGTTTCAAAAATTATTTATAGTTTCTATATCAATAGCTCACCGCAACAATCTATCTTTAGATTATAGGATAATGGGCAAATACTCAAACGCTATTCAGTTTTTAAAGGTCGTTAAGTCTCGTGGTGTCACAGTCACTTTGATTTAAAGTGATAGAGACAGCATGAGATTTAATGGCATCTTAAAATTGAGTAGCATTTGAGTATTTGGGCATAAGGGTGACAAACGAACACACAGTTCCCGTCTTGATAAATGGACATTGACATCTACATCTATATTCAATTAAGGATCAAAATGCAGGACTAAGTAATTCCTCGTTTCCAGTAAAAAGGGTTTAAGGTTCTCTATACTCACCATAAGAAACACAACAGCTTTAGCTGCTATTTTACGCTGACATTCTGTAAGAGCGTGGTCCTTCCCAGGTCGAGCCGACCCATTCGTGCTACAATCACGAAATAGCTCTATACGTAGTAAATCCACGCTGCAGCTATATAAAGATCTAAATAATTTGCAACCAACAGCATCTTTTTCGGTGCATATGTGTGCATCCAACAGTGAACTTTTACAAACTGATAAAGAAAGAAAAAATCTTTTAAAAAAAAGTGTACGTGAATGCGTGTCAAAAAGTTGAGCGTGGATTCAGAGTTATTTGAAATGTACGCAGCGCTTCGTCTTTCTTTCTATATTGGTCTGATATCAATACATTAGTAACTAAAATATCTACATTGTGTTGATGGTAACAGAAATAGGAGATTTCTCTTATAAAATTGAAGTGACAAACGAATTTATAATCCACCTGAAGGTAAGGTGCTCCTGCAGCCAATAGACACCAACCCTCTATCGTAACCAACTTCAAACAAAGAAGGCTAAAGATACGTATATAAATAGATACGCTATAGGACCAATATGAAATACCTCACAGATTGTAATTACATCGGCCCTCTATACCCTTTAGGCTGAATACAGCAGTGGGTGCGGCAGAAGTAAGAGGTTGATATCTACCCAGAGATATTCGTAAGCAGAAAAAATACGAAACTATTAACAATAATGTCTTAAACACAATGTTACCTTTCATGTGGTCGTAAACCGTGGCTGAGGGAATAGATTGTGCACAGTAAATTTTACAGTACGCAAACAACCCGAGTTCGATCCTTGCCAGTACCGATGAATAGGAAATTGCATTTTTAAGTGCTGATTTACCACGTACTCAGCGGTATTTCCTTCACCACTGTAAGGTGAAATACAATATTTCGAAGACGTGTGAAATCGACGGCAGGGCTAGCGTACTCCCGGGAATACAAGTATTAGTGATATGGGCGACAACAAAATAATAAGCTCTGCCATTTCATAACGAATTGCATAAAATAACCGCATCGCGTATTTTATCAATCCGGTAATTAAAAAATAGTACAGCTACAGAAGAGAAATAATTTAAAATTAAACATTTTGTACAGCCGACTTCAATATAAGTTATTAAGAATAACTCAATAACTATTGGTCTGACCTGAATCATTTGGGACATTCATATGGGACCACACAAGAAGTATCAGCTTTCAAATAAAAAAAGAATCATCGAAATCGGTTCACCCAGTAAAAAGTTATGAGGTAACACACATAAAAGAAACATTCAGTCGAATTGAGTACCGTCTCCTTTTTTGGAGGTCGGCAGAAAAGTTGCGTTGCTTATAATGGATGTTATTTTATATTAAGAATAGGAATTTAGTAAGATGCTACTAAAAATAATTGATTTTAATTTAAAAAACAAATTACAAACTGACTTCTGTTGATCTATCGGAACTTCGGAAGCGGCGTCAAAGGGCGGTGGATACTGTTCCAATCCTGCGCTAAGTACGCACGCCACCTGAGGCCGCAACTCCTCCCACGCAGGTATTTCTACGGGAACGCTCTTTGTCTTCTGGGGACGCTTTTTCGGCCCTGGTGTAATAAAGAGATTATTAGTAAGGGCTTAAGGCGACACTTCGAAAACCGTTGAAGCGGTCTATCGCCGGACTGACCTGAATGAAACATAATTTCTATAAAAACTTCAAAAACGACGTTATAAGGTCTAAAATTGCGTAGCGCCCGCGACGATTAAGACCGCTTAGAAATCGCCTAGAATCTTAAAATATTTTTTAAAAATTATTGATTTTAGTAATCAAAATAATGAGCAAGTAAATTACGAATATTGATGTTATGAATGTATTTGAGTGGTTTCCAAGCATATAGACTAAGTAATTTCGTTATAATTTCAATTATAGTGATTTTTAGAGGTGTTTTCGCAAATAGTTATGATCGAGTCAAAATTATAGAATCGTGTTTTTGAGCAAGCAAACTCAAGATAAAGACATGAATTTACCTATATCAAAATTCCAGTTTCGTTTGTCGTGTCATACTCCTATACTATTCGATGAAAGAAGGTGCATTTTTTGCGGTGTCGCCTTAAATACTAATGTAATTCAACATCCGTTTCTTCTTAAGTTAGGTTAGTAAAATAACTTTATTTTAAAAATATTTAATTGTATTCTATGTGCTAAGTACTACGAATAGGGACTAGTTAATTGACATTTAACATGACTTTGCCCACTAACGTCAAGTGCGTTGAGTAGTGTCTAAAACTGTGTACTAAAATATATACATTTAATTGTTATTAATTTTATGTTAATATAATAGCAATTTTAAAACGACGGCTTGTCATTAAAATTTATATAGAAAGTAAAGTTTATAGTAAATCCAATCCTATTTTTTCCGCGCCTATATGAAATATTTTATGGTCATTACTTGCAATCATTAATATACATTTTGGTGTCAAAATATGTAAAGTGGTGTAATGAAAAATTAAGTCTTATTAAAAACTAGCAGTTCCCCACGACTTTTATTTATTTATTTATTCTTTATTGCACCAAATATAAATATTTGTACAAAAGACGAGCTTAATGCTATATGGCATTCTCTACCAGCTAACCTTGGGTAGAACAGAGAGTGAGTTTGGGCAGTTAAGTTATCATGATATAATACAGTTCAAATATATACATGCAACACATACTTAAAATATACACATATATATAAAATATATATAATTCATATACATACATAAATAAATACACACATTAATACATATATATCTCAATAAATGTACCTAGTCAGGTCATAAGTATTGTCACACAGTAAAAACTTTTCTTTTAGAATGCTGGCCACAAAAAAGTTTATTGAATTCGAATTTCGAATTGTTCATGAAAATAAAACTGCATACTTTTTAGAATTTTACTCATTTTTAAATAGGGAGTGGACGCTTAAAGAAGACCGTGTTGCAGTTATTGCGTTGCATCGTTGCGGTTACGCGCCAATTCAAATTTTTGACATACTGAAAAATTTGAATATAACCAAAAGATTCGTTTATCGTACCATCAAACGATACAATGAAGACTCTAGTGTAGATGACAGGTCAAGAAGTGGTCGCCCTCGGTCTGTTAGGACTCCAGCAGAGATAAAAGCTGTGAAGGCGCGAATTCAAAGAAATCCCAAACGTAAGCAGAAACTGTTGGCCCTTCAGATGGGATTAAGCAGAATTTTTTTGCGCGGAACCCTAATTCTTTTACTAAAATAATAGTAGCCTAAGTTACTCCTTATAACATCAGTTATCTGCCAGTGAAAGGCCCATCCAATCGGTTCACAGGTTTTTGCGTGATGCATGTTCAGACAAACGTCGTGTTAGTTTTATTATAATATAGATAGATAGATGTGAATTTTAGCACACCGTATCGTACGTTAGTAACGTACGCCAAACCTAACAAAATTTTTGATCATTAATTAAAATAGGTAATTTTGTCGATTACGGTTACTTAGGTTAAAAAAATACTTTTCAAAGTCCGTTATCGTTAATCTAGAGTAAGAGGACTTTTGATTGTTATTACTATAGACGCTGAAAAATACGTAATACTCCTTGGAATACGTCTTGAATAAGTACTAAATTAGAGTACCATCATTAACTTGAAATACCTACGACTTTGACATAAAAATCACGATCAGATTAAATTTGTAAAATAAGGCATAAAACTAATATCAGAAAATACAGAAGTAGTCCTGTTCGACTTTTCTATATAACGTAACATTTTACGTAACAGTGACACCGGAAACGAGTATCGGAGTATTTCTTAAATCACCATCAACTTTCTAAGCCTTACAATTCCAATAAACTTTCCGAGTTAGAAAGGAGGAATGACTCGGGTAACGTATATTGAAACGTTCTACGAGGCGAAAGTTACTTACTTTTCGCCTTCGACTTTTTCCGAACTTTCTTTTGAACAACCAAGCCTGTCTTCTTGCAATAGTACTCCAACATTTTAAGGAACAGATGAACAGTTTCCATTAGGTCCACTAAATACGACCTAAAAAATATTGAACCCGTATAATAATTCACAAAAATAATATTCAGAAAATAATACGTGAGGAAATCTTTACTAACCTTGGCATTTTATTATCGTCGTAGTTAAGGAATGTCGTTAAAATAAACTCTCGGTATTCCAGTACGTAGAAAATGTTGCTCTTTAACACTTTAGCAGATTCCTTTACCGTAGGATCGGTGCTTTTATCCATGGCTAATAGAGTATACAGTAACTCCTTATACGCTCTTAGGGCGAGATGTAACCGACGGACCCATGTGGAGTATTTCTTTTTCTCTACTTTAATCATGTCGTAATATTTCTCCATTTGTTGCTGAACGTAATGAAACATCGGGACAGACATTGTTTCACTAAAATGTGAAGGAGTATGTTAGATATTTATCATTTCATCATGAGCGATTTTATGCATTTCTTCTTATATATATATGCCCGCAAGTGTCCACTGTTTGGAATGGTCGTAATCGCTACACTTGGCAGGCAAATGTGTCGTACCTTTAACACTGCTTCCCATGGGGTTGCTAATACTTAGCGGCCAGCCTCCGCAGTCTACTTCACCTGAGAATGCCTCGTGTAGAGGCGAAACACGTGTCGTATTTTCGAGAGTGGTGTGTCGTGCCTAGTGTCCTGGTGCTGGGGGTGGTAGTGCTGGGATTAACGGCGACGGGTATAGTGCGCGCGATTGAGGGAGGGTGGGAGGTCCGCTTAAAACTGAGCAGGACACATCATTTTCTTTCTTTACGCGGAATTAAGCAAATTAGTTTATTATATATACCCCATTATAATGGATTTCCGCAAAGTAACGACTGATTCTATCAATTATCTTAAAAACACTGTTTCCCGTCGTCGGTCCGGGTATTTTACATCTGGCAATATTATGTTCGATGGTAAACCGCCATTTATGGCGGTCGAGGTCATTCTATTATTTCCTATAGTCGCCACCCACTACATCCATGGGACGAAATGGGATATAATAAGTATTCTGTGGCATGGCATTTTTAATTTTAACATAACAATAATGTTATATGTATGTCACAATTTGGAACAAAGCGAATTTATAATCCAAGTACTTTTACGTATCGTAAAAACAAAATGTTTCCAAACCAGCAAGCACTTTCCTTTTAAAATATACAAGGCCCTACCATACTGAAGTAAATATTATAAATTTTACAACGAAATACCAAAAGTTCAGAAAACTCAACTTCAGACAGAATGTTAAAGAAAACTTAATGATACAGGTAAGTCATGTTTTTGTTGGTAAATAATAAATACATATACATAAAGAATTTATTACGTTGTATAGTCCCACAATCTAGATGTAAACAAGAGAAAACAAAGCTCAAGTTTTGAACCTTATCATAAGCACGAACTTGAACGAATTTCCTGTTTCGAGCTCACCGCTGTGTCAGATACTCAATTACAAAGGGCGCACGATGAAATGGGGGTACATTGCCGCGACCTCATTGTAATAGTATGCCGTTAAGTTATGAACTTGCAAGTTTAATGTTCTAATGTCAGTGACAGGTTTTAGTATTATAACAAAGACAGTTATACTAGTATTACAATGTCTTGCTTATCTAGCTATTAAAGAAAGAATGGGAATAAGGGGCCAACAACTTCATTAAATGCCAACTTATTCTCGTTTTACACCCTGCTTATAACCGTACCCTGCTAATATCTGGCCGACAAACGACGATTTATTCATTTGAAAATGTTGAATCTAAATCCCATAGACCCTCTCGAGAATTTTTCACTACTAGCGATTCGCCCCGACTTCGCACGGGTGATTTCTAGATATCGACAACAGCACCACCTATCGGGGTCCAATTGTGAATCTAAACCACTCTCGAATCAACTTAAACACACACACAAAATTTCATCAAAATCAGTCCAGCTGTTTAGGAGAAGTTCAGTCACATACACACGGACAGAACAGTTATATACTAGGTTCATCAATAAGTTTTCGGAATAAATAGGGCAGTTATCAATGACTTATAGAAATACGTTCAATTTTTTTCGAATCTTAAATTCGTTAGGAGTCAAGGACCAGCCAGAAAACACTAAATTAAAAACTATACCCATTTTTTGGAGTTTGATTCGAACTTCGTGCGGTTATTAAATATTTCTGCCTAAAAAAAAACTGTACAAAAAGTGTTTCTCAAAAACTGCAGTGTACTTTAGCAGACAATGCTTCGTCTTATTCTACAGTGGCATACTGGTGCACTGAATTTACACGCGGCAGAACCGCCTGCAATGACGACTAACCGAGCGGCCAACAACGGAGCAAGAAAACGTTAAAAACACGAAGAAATTGTTAAGTTCGAGATCAAAAAATTGTAATTTAATTGCCGAGAAAAAACTACGACGTTCATGTTCTTGAGCGATAACCATATAATATTTTTCAATAATATGAAAGGCATGTTATTGAATTAGAGTCTTAATCGACTACATTTTTATTTAGATCCAATACTTCCTGATAATAAGCAAAAACATTTCAAATAAAATATGTTTTGTCCACCGAACGTCACACGCTTTACTTCGTACTGGACTGGACAAATATGCATGCGGCGGAGAAGAGAGCGCTTAAAGTGTTTAAACGTCGTAAATCCTCGCCTTACAATTTTTTACTTTCCGTTTTCCTCGGAAACCCCCGGAACGAAATCACCGGCGGCACGCACTACTGAATTTGTTAATAGCAACTTTAAAAGCTGATTTACCATTTACTCGACTATCAATAAAAGAGTCACTTTTATCCTGCTAAAAACTCTGAACCGCTGAAAAGAAGAGGATCGTTATTCTCAGTAGTACACATGAGCTAGTACTTCATTTATTGTTATACTGTGATTTTTTTTATAGAATTAGGGTGACAAACGAGCACATAGTCCACCTGATGGTAAGTGGTTGCTGTGGCCCATAGACATCTACATCTGTCTTCGCTTGCGAATTAAAATGCAGATGCGTTGTCAGCCGTGAGGACTAAAATAGAATGCCTCTTTTCCAGTAAAATAGGTCTCCAGTTCTCTACACTCACCATACGAAACACAGCAGCGTTAAGCTGCTATTTTAGGCTGGTATTCTGTGAGAGCGTGGTCCTTCCCCGGTGGAGCCATTCGTGCTACAATTATACTATTAATATAGCTGCAGCATAACTCTACCACGTATAAGAATTTTTATTACTGTAATTGTTTATACGTTACCTCACTAATCCAACTTGAAAATTGTATCCTCGGTTGAACTCCATGAAGAACTTTAATGACCACAAATAATATGACTCGTCATTTTGCTGCCCCTTGGATCGCACTAACACATCCTTAACGTAGTGCATTAGTGAGTTATAAGAGCTGTTTAGGAACTCTATGCAAAACTCTTTTAAAAATAGCCTGCGTAATAATACATTATAATATTATGTTATAGTGTGAAAATATAAAAATTGACTGTTAATATTTTTAAAGAATATCAACAATGCTATTTTTTTTATAGGAGAGGGGGCAAACGAGCATGCGCCTCACCTGATGGTAAGTGACTACCGCCGCCCATGAACAACTGCAACACCAGGGGAACCAGGGGAATTGCAGATGCGTTGCCGGCCGTTAAAGCTAGTAGCATTATTACAAATACTCCCGTTAACTTTTCTAAGTAAGCCTAAAACGCTTGGCTAAGTGGTTCACGACTCAAGCGTGGAACTATACCAGCTCTATACTCTTCAAACCGGAACACAGTACAGACACGGCTGTCGTCAAGCAGCGTCCGTCTATGTAGTTTACAGAGGGTCCAAACTACATAGGCGGACTCCTAGGCAGAAGAGTCTTACCACTTAGAAAAGTGGAGGAGGAGTGAACCACGACAGTAGTCGGATGACGGATTCGCAACCAGGCGTAAGGCTAGTTAAATAAATACCAGAATAATATACAGGGTTATTTTTCAAAGAGTAGCCAAATTTTAAACTTAAGTTCAAATATATATAGTTGCAGTTTATGAAAATATCAGTAAATTAAGCTCCTACTTTTATTTGAAATTATCCCAAATTTAATGTGATTTATGCCGATTTTTTTTCCGATAGACCTTTACGAATGTGTGCGTGCGCAGTAAAATCAGTTAAAATGATGCATTACCACGCATTTTGAATTTAAAAGATAAGAAGTACGAGTATAGAATGGTTGAGATTTTTTAAATTAGTTTTTCTTCGTCATTTGCATATATTACATACTTATTCTAATCGGTGATACGGTTATTGCAAAATTATCCTGTATATATATTATTCTGGTGTCTAGTATATTAAGTTAAAATATAATATTAATGTATTAATTTAATAATTGAATTCATAAATAAACATATATAAAAATGAAAGATAAGAACATAGGGAAAAATATCAGCGATTAATACAAAACAAAGATGTCAATAAATCAAAGAACTGTTCTGTATCAAATAGCAGAACAGCAATGTACAAAAGTTGCAACAAAATACCGCAGACGATGGAGGAAATCGCTTGCGGTCAAAAAAACTGTCGCTTTCAGTTATAATATCCATTATATAACAAATAAACACTTTACATTAGTACCACAGAGTTAATAAAATCTGTGGTTGCCAAACCGCCTGCCAAATATGGCAGTCATGGCAAACATCCCCCAAGGATGCAATCTAAGGAAGACCTATGTTCAACAGTGGACTTTGATAAGCTATAATGATGATGATGATGAATTTAAAAAACTAAAAAATTACAATTAATACTCACCGCACTGCAAAGGCTGACCGTCTTTCTAACACTCCACTTTCTACTGGCCTTCTGTTCTTAGGTTTAACAAATTTAGATTTCTTACTTCCACTAAAGTCTAAATTGGATATTTTGTTTAGAGGCTTCAAACAAATTAATTCATTGTCAGATATAGATTTCATATTCTGCACAACATATGTGCCTCCAAATCGAGAATGCCTAAAAAGATTAAACTATTGCTTACAAGTTCTAATAATTAAGTCTCAAATTACCACGTGGCCATGACATATCAGTTCGATCACCCCATCTCACCCTGTGGGTGTTGTAAGGAGTGTCTTAGGGATTTCCCAGAAGATTTCCTTACCTCATATAGATGATAGTGCTCGTATAACCCATCTACATCTACACTTATAATATTATAAAGAAGAAAGATTTGTTTGTTTGTTTGTTTGAATTGAATAGGCTCCGAAACTACTGGACCGATTTGAAAAATTCTTTCACCTTTAGAATCCTACATTATTTAACTATTACAGTTATGTCACAATAACTACTTTTTCATGTTAAAATGTGAATAGTAACGTATGTGTGAAATAATACGTACTGATATGAATAATGTGGCCTAGACATTATTCGTATCAGTACCTGTATCATGCATAACCACCAATTACGTTAACCATGTAATTTTAGTAACATATTTCACTTTTTAAATCTTTATTAATTCAGCAACCGTCCGTCGTGATGTCTCTCTCGAAGTTCGCATGTCGCAAGGCGCAGATGCGTGATATACGCGGGTGAAACCGCGGGGCACAGCTAGTAATATTATAAAGAGGAAAGATTTGTTTGTTTGTTTGTTTGAATTGAATAGGCTCCGAAACTACTGGACCGATTTGAAAAATTCGTTCACCATTAGAATCCTACATTATCCCTGATGAACATAGGCTATATAATATTTGCAAAAAAGTTAGGGATCCGTATGAAAACTTCGTTAATGAAACCCAAGGTATGAAAAAAATACCAAAAAGAATCCTTATATCGCGTATGCTGCGGAAACTATTGATAATAGAGCGAAGTAATGATACCATATGTTTAACTATTACAGTTATATATAACAATAACTACTTTTTATACTTATTATACTTTTTTAATAGTATAGGGTGACAAACGAGCACACAGTCCACCTGATGGTAAGTGGTCGCTGTGGCCCATAAGCATCTACATTTATCCTCTAAGACTAAGATGGAATGCCTCTTTTCTAGTAAAAAGGGTCGCCGGTTCTCTACACTCACCATACGAAACACAGCAGTGTTAAACTGCTATTTGACGCAGGTATTCTGTGAGAGCGTGGTCCTTCCTGGGTCGAGCCGACCCATTCGTGCTACAACTATACTACTAATATAGCCGCAGCATGGCTCTACCACGTAAAAATGCATGTCGCAAGGCGTAGACGCATGATATACGCGGGTGAAACCGCGGGGCACAGCTAGTATTTATACAATATTAGTTTTGATGTAAAATACCAAGACAAATACGAGATATCTGGTGCTACAATCGCCTGCTAAGCTTGGCAATTGAAGTGATTTGTCTGAAGGCAGAGGTGTATGTCCACTTATACTGTCCTTCAGTCCGAATTTCGATCTCAAGTCTTGATGGAGACTAGCCATCTCCACAGGACAGGATTATAATGCTCGAATGTACGAGTATGCACAGACACAGGTGCACTCTCTATTCCCTCACTCTCATAGTCCGATGGGAGTGTAATCCGACACGACTGGTAAGAGATCAGATGCAGGACCAACATCTTTACATGCTTTCCAAGGCACGGTGGTGGAACACCGCCAACTTCTTGACTTTGGGCAACTATTGAGAATTTCTTGGCAGAAAAACTGAATAACTGATTTTGGCCCAACCTGGAATTCGAACCCACTAGACCAACGAAGCATACATGCCATGTCCACTATGTCACATGACACTATGTGGACTATTTATGGGCTGGTGAATAGGAAGCCTTAAACTAGGTGTACATTAGAGACAGACCAAGGCCTTATGGTTTCACAAGCTACCTCGAAGCAGGGAACCATCCGACTCGAGTGTTTACATGGGTGGATCTGACGTCAGAGTGGGGAGGTACATGAAGTACCTAGGGCTCTACTTGGACAGTCGCTGGGGCTTCGAAGAGCACTTTGAGCGCCTAGTCCCCCGGATTGAGAGGGTGGCGGGTGCTATGCACAGACTGCTGCCCAATCTAGGGGGACCGAGTGAGGAAGAACGCCGCCTCTATGCTGGGGTAGTGCGGTCCGTAGCCTTATACGGGGCGCCTGTACTGGCGAAAAGGCTAGCCATCCGACGATGTAGATCTAAAATCTACAGTGTCCAGCAGATATGGATCGTGCGATAATACCGCATGATATCCTTTGAGGCGGCAACAATACTGGCTCGCTTTTAACCCCAAGATATACTGGCGGATACGGATGCGAGGGTGTACAGCCGGATCCGTATCCTCCGCCAGGCAGGAGCAACAGAACGATTTGGCGATATGGGGCACTCGACTGAACGAGGTCCGCAAACGCGTTATTGGCGCAATTCTGCCGGTCTTCAAAGCCTGGATGCAGCGACGAGTAGGAAGACCCACCTAAAGACTTACACAGATAATTACCGGGCACGGGTGCTTCGGTGATTATCTGTGTAAGATTGGACGCGAAGCGACGGCAAACTGCTTCCACTGGGGTGACGGGACCAGAAATCACCTCCCATAGGCTTGCTATTTGCCAGGCGTGGGAACGGGTGCGGAAGATCCTGGCGAGCCGGGTTGGTCGGAAACTCTCCCTGCTAGCAATCGTTCGTCAATGCTGAGCGGGAACTGGGCGTGGAGGGCCGTAGCCACCTGCTGTAAGTCCGTAATGGTCCAGAAGGAGGCCGCTGAGCGGGATCGCAGGAGGACAGATCTCATATCAATCCTCAGATCAACCTTCCGCCTGCCACCCCCAGCCAAAGGTATCTATGACTATTTTTCCCACGAAAAAAAAAACGTCATTAAAAGACGGGATGGGCTGCAACGTTGCGGCTAGTTTAAACCGCACTACAAAGACTTCTATGTATATTAATAGACGTGCTCTGCAGCCTTACTACATTGCACAGTAAGTTTTGGACTGCCAGCAGACGAGAAGATTAGTTTTTTGTTTTCAACAATCTAACACTGATTTTGTGTAATGTGACTAAGAAAACACTGTCATTATTTATGTGCACAATTTGTCGACGTGATTTGAAGTTTATTTCAAATAAATATGTATTTTCCCAAAAACAATTACAGTTGTAAATGAAAATACAATTGCGTACCATATTTAACACGCCAAAACCTGCTGGAGCAAGCCACAACTGTGAGACAGTTTTAGTTGTGAATCTTATAGTATATATAGAAGTCTCTGGTATATAGTCTCTCTCATATAGGCGGTTTCTTGCCAACAGTAGTCCTTCCCTGGTAGAGCCAACCTATTTGTGCTGCAACCATAAAATAGTTATAGCATTGCTTTACCACTTGTTTTATGGAAATAAGAATTTGTAAAATGTGTCATGCAATTTAAATACTAATCTTATCCAACCTCCAAATAATATTTAATTTTATACAACAGCATATATTCTCACCTAGTCTTTAATGATTTACACTTAACAATGAACAATGGATTTATTAATTCTTTTAAAAGAATAAGATTATTTAGTGATCATTAATGATTACTTTCCCTAATTAAAATTACATTACACTATCTGACTCCGCAAACATTGGTCTGCTATTTCTAGTATGTGACGCCATAAGCTTAATTTGAATATTAAATGTAATGATAACTGGACCACATTGCAACCATATCGGGTCAAGATTTTGTGATTATCTTTTTTACACTAAACAAGCCCTAACCATAAACCAAATTGTTTTGTAAATTTAATTGATATACAAATAAATTATTTGTATTTGCCTATTTCGTATTTTTCTTGTTCTATCAAGAATACCAAGTATGGAATGTGTTAATAACTTCAATACAGCGCCACCTATCAGATCTTAGCTTATGTATGAACCATTGTCTTGATAAAACAAATATATTGTGTGAATATGAACACAACCCATTGTGTTTGGTTGTTCAGAAGTTACCCAATCGCTAGGTAACAGACGCTCCAACAATTATATGAGGTATATATAAAGATATTATCAGAGAAAAAAGAACTGAGAGCCACATTACTCACCTAGAAGCAGAATACTGTTTAATCTTATTTAATCTTTCTTTTGTTTCTGTCATCCTTATAGTTAAAAGTTCTTGTTCATCTCTAAGTTTTTCATCAATGCTCCTTTGCAAAGCTGCATGAGCTAAGCTAGTAGGATTTTGTTCTCTCAACAAGTGTGAAATTATTTCAATAATGTGCATAAAGTACTGCTTTTCATTTTCTGATGACATATAAAGAATTATGTCCAAAATTCCTGATTGATTCAATGCCCATAGTACCTTAAAAAATTATTTAATTTAAAACATAATTTGAGGATTTAGATTAAATGTTTCCCTTGCATGTTTTAGGCTAATCAAGTTCTGCAACTTAATGTATTTTTTCTTTGAGAATAACTTTTAATTCATTTTACAATAATGTTTTTTACATTTACATTATCTCAATTATGACATTCTTAAACATAGTAGAAATGGAATGAACAAACCTGATCATGGACACTAGCGTCATTTTCAGGTCTCCTTTCTTTATCAAGATCAGCAGGAACATGTAATACATTTCTAATAAGAATTAAGATCCTTTCAATAATGAGTCCTGTATCTTCATCTCTCTCTGTCCAATCCTACATATGTAAATAATTCAATAACTATTATTAAAGCATTCACTATAGACACAGAGACCAAGTGACAAATGATTAATGTTCAATGAAAACAAAAATGCCAAATATTATACAATAGCAAAGCAAACAGCAAAAAACCATAATCCAAAGTTCATCAAATATCATGTGTTCATCTCACAGTACCATAGGCATTCTGAAAAAATCACTTAGACACAGCAACAGCTTGTGCTTACTGCTCTGATGGTAACTGTACAGAATGAAAAGGCTGTACAACTCGTTATTCAAGTCCAGGGCTTCTAAAATCCCTTTGAGAATTTTACACAATTATTAACTGATTTCTAAGGAGTTATAATCAAGTAAGGATTTACCAATGAGAGTACTTGTAAATGTACTTTAAGAAAGCCTTTTGCACTCTCTAACAAAAATGCATACATGCTTCCATATGGATGCCACTCACAAACACTTAATTGCAGCTTGCTACAAACCAAAGCAGTAAAAATAAGTTTTATTACACCTATATTTTTAAAATATTTGAGTTGGAAGAAAGAAACCAAACCTACAAAACAACTCTTTGGCCATAGCAATGATATGATATATTAATGTCTAAATCTTTACCAACCCACTTGCCAAGCGTAACAACTATGGCAAATTTCCCCCCTATGAGGCAATCTATGGGGAGACCTATATTCAGCAGTGGTCTTTAACAGGCTGTGACGGCAATATCTTAATCTTTAATGGTTCAATATATGGTTGAGTCCAATTTATAGTTAAACTCAATTACACACCTCATGTGCCCAAAAGTCATCTTGCAATGAACAAAACTATATTCTTTTATTCTTCCTTCATAGTTGTTCTCCTTTATAATTCCTTACCTTCTGATGTTATGTATATATGTATAATATATATAACATCATATAGATGTGTAAAATGACGAAAAAATATATACAACATATTATATATATCTGTGTTTGTGAATGTACAATGTAAAATAAGTTGAGTGATTAAATGTTTATAATTTATAATATGATGCCTCTACAAGAGATGTCATGAAATGTTACTTACAATTTCTAGTATTTTTGCTAATTTCTTAGCAAACACTTGCCAAGTTTCAACTTTAGTAAATGCTTCTTCCTTATAATATTGCAAGTGGCTTAATATTTGCAGATAATTATGTCTTGCTGTTCGTTCAATTGGTACTTCCTCTCTATACAACAGTAGAGCTGGATTGGTTAGGTTTACAATTAATCTGTAAATGTTTAATGACCTTTCTATAATAAAAATATAAAATTATAATAAATACTTATATAGTTGGTTGCAGTATTTTCCAGATAACAGCACAATAAGTAAAAAAACCACAGTTGTTAATCCGCCTGCCAAGCATGGCACCTAAGGAAAATATCACCAAAATATGAGGTTAAAGGGAGAACTTTGTTCACCAGTGAACTTTTAATAGACTGAATGAAAAATAATTGTTACTTTACCTCAGTGTAACATCGAAAAGTTCGGTATTTTCCCAATGATCAATAATCATGGGCAACAGATCAGTTTGTAGCACTTTCGTTTGTCCAAAATGCCTTCGTATTTCGTGATCTTCCCCATCACGTCTTAAATATCTTATCAAATCTTTAACTGTGTTAAGTGTAAATTCATCTATCATATACTTTCCTGTTTTCTTGTTGAAAGTTCCCAATGCATTGCAGGTAGCAGAAAGTTCGGCAGATAAGAGAGAACTCATAGTACTATTAAAATAAGTTAAGATCACAAACAAAACTTGATTCTTCAAATAATCTTATCATTATAATTGCTGCTTGTACACCTTTTTTAAATATTTTCAATTTTTATTTAAATATCAAAAGAAATAACGAATAACTTTATCACATAATCCTACAAAATTTCATATCATCTTTACGAAATACCAAATATGAACATAAGTACATATTGTTCTTCTTCTTCTTCTTCTTTCTTTTTTATGGCGGTTTTGATCATTCGCCAATGTCAGCGTGAAAGCGTTTATTGAGTAGAAGCTCAGTAGTTACAAATACTATGCCCATATACAAGAGAAGATTGTGATAGTACAAGTATCTTTTTTCCTTTAAACCAATTTTTTCCCCTTTTATCTTGTAGTACTAATGGTTATACTGTTGAATTACCTAGAACAAATGACAAACACGGTTGCTATAACTACATTAGTATGTTAGTATTGACAAACATTAAACTTTTATACCATTAGTGTTAATAAAATCACACAGAATATATACATAAGGAGTGTTTGTGTAGGTTAAAAGTGAATCAAAATTTATAGGACGAGGGATGTCAGGAGGGAGATAATCATAGAGTGAACAAGATAATTTAGGACAGTTAAAAAAAATATGGTCGGAGGTTCCCTCATCCAACCCACATTCGCAGAGGGAACTATCCCTAATCCTCAGTTTGGCCAAATGTACTGGTGTACAAGCGTGGCCAATTCTAAGTCTACAAATAGTTGATGTAGAATGTTTATTAGCTTTATTGAATTTGAAAAACCATGGTTTTGGAAGGATGGCACATTGTATAGCAGCATAGTGTTTACCTTTTATATTTTGAGTGGCTTTCCATAGTGTATTCCAATTATTATTTAACTTCTTCTTTGCAAGTAACACTATGTCTGAGGAGTAAGTTAAATTACATGGCAAACCATTTCGACTGGCATTTTTAGCCATCAGATCAGCTGTTTCATTGCCCTTGATGCCACTATGACCTGGAATCCAAGCTAAGGAAACCTGTATGCCCTTGAGATGACATCTATACAATGTGTGTTTAATTTTGAGGATCAAGGGTATCTTATATTTACTTTGGAATTGGTTTGACAAAATTGCTAACAAACAACTTTTGGAGTCGGTAAGAATAACTGACTTATTTAAGTTGTGTGCTTCTATATATATTAAAGCTTCATGAATTGCCGTGGCCTCGCCAGTAAAAGTGGAAGAAATAGAAGGGCATTTAAAATTAAGAATTATTTTGAATCTGGGAATCCAAACTGCTGCTCCAGTACAACTTTCATCTGACTTTTTGGAGGCATCAGTGTATATAATAAGCCAGCCTTTCCATAAATTATCTATGACTCTACTTACTTTACTATTTGCTATAGGGCAATCTTTCTCAATACCAAGGTCGAGGTGGATATTTGGTTGGAAAATGATTGCATCATATGGGATATCAAATATGGGGCAGGACTTGAATTGTGATACTGGGTATGGTAGGTGGAGTAATGTTACCAAACTGTTGGATAAGCAGGGAGATTCTTTATGAGACCAGTAATGTTTTGACGAAATATATTCCAAAAGGAGGTGTAGTTTAGAAATGAGAGGGTGGGAAGAGAGTTGGTAGATTTTAAAAAAGTATCGGTCCGAAAGATATTGCCTTCTTAGATAAAGGGGAGGGTCCACACATTCAACTTGGAGAGCATTTATTGGGGAAGATTTCATTGCCCCGATGATTATACGAAGGCTTTTGGATTGAATCCTGTCTAGGATCTTTAGGGAAGACTTATTGCACGGTTCCAAAACAAAACATCCATAATCTAAATGACTACGGATAAGGGCGTTGTACAGTATTTTTTGGGAGAATGGGTGGGAGCCCCACCAGACACCCGATAAAGCGCGAAGAATGTTTATATTTTTTTCACATTTTTTGGAGACATAGTTGATGTGATGAGAAAAGGCTAGTTTGGAGTCGAGAATAACTCCTAAAAATTTTACACTCTCCCTAATTGGGATAGGTTCATTATTATAGAGAATGTTGATTTCAGGGACTTGCCTATGGCGAGAGAAGATTACAACACTGCTTTTGGGAACAGACAAAGACAAACCATGATCAGTTAACCAATCCTGTAAATAAGACATTGATATATTCAAGCGAGAACATGCTGCAAGGAGGTTATCTAGGGAAATATATATAGCTATATCGTCTGCATATTGGAGGATGTTACAGAAGGAGTTAACAGAAAGTTCTAAATCATAAGTATAGATAGAATAGAGTAAAGGACTAAGTACTGAGCCTTGTGGGAGACCCTTCCATACAATTCTTGGCGGGAGTAGAGAATTTTGACTGTCAATATAAATGGATCTAGAAGAGAGAAAGTTAGAGACAAAATTTACTATCCTCACTGGAATACTCAGATTAAGCATTTTTTGCCTGAGCACAGGAAGAAGTACATTGTCATATGCAGACGAGATATCTAGGAAGACTCCAACAAGGTATTCATGTTTAGAGTAAGCTATACGAATATCAGTAACTAGAGTACTAATGCTATCCATGGTGCTTAAGCCCTTTCGGAATCCAAATTGGCTTTTTGCTAAAAGATTTTTGCTTTCAAGAAACCATTCTAAACGATTTTTTATTAGGTGTTCAAGGATTTTGGCCATGGTGCAAGAAAGAGCAATAGGGCGGTAGCTTGCGGGATCAGTGTAGGGCTTACCTGGTTTGTGAATAGGTAAGATAACTTGGGATTTCCACTCTTCAGGAGGAATACCGGACATGTAAATATAATTCAAAATAGAAAGAAGATGGGCTTTAGTAGATTCACTGCTATTAGTAATAAAAGAATAAGGGATTCCATCGATTCCTGGTGAAGAGTCTTTAAGGACATTAAGAACAGAATATAACTCCTCATAAGAGAAAGGAGAGTCAAAACTGTGTTGATAGTGCAGGGACTGTGATTGGAATACTATACATTCATTGTAAGATGGTACTGAAGGAGGAGCAAGTTTACTAGCAAAATTTTCTAGCCAATAAGACTGATCATTAGAATTTGTGTTTTCAGGGGCCGAAACTGAACATCGGAATTTTTTTATATTTTTCCAGACCAGTGATGGATGAGTCCTAGGCGACAGTGACTCACAGAATTTAAGCCATCCAGCCTTTTTCTTTTCAGACAGTAATTTTAATGTTTCAGCAGCAGTTTTTTTATAAAAAATATAGTTATCAAAATTCATTGAGCGGGAATATCTTAGTTCAGCTTCCTTTCTCTTCTTGCATGCTACAGAACAATCTTGATCCCACCAAGGCGGTGAAGGAGCATTATTTTTATAAGGTTTTTTAATGGGAATTGTCTTATTTGCAGCAGATAAAATAGCATTTTTGAAAGTAGAATACACCTGAAGAACATTCTCTTTCTGAACCGTAGGGAGGGATGAAAGTTCTTCATCTAGAACTGTGGAATACAGATGCCAGTTTGCTTTGGATGTGTTATATTTTAACCTAGGTTTGAATGGAACATTGACTGTATAGGAGTTAGGAGGATTGATAACAATAGGAAAGTGATCACTGCCATGGGAAATGGGTAATATTCTCCAAGAAAGAAGGGATGACAGGGCAGGAGAACAGAGTGACAGATCTACTGCACTTTTAGGATTTTGGAGGGGGGAAACTCTACGTGTAGGTGAACCATCGTTAAGGAGGCAGAGATCTAAATCATCAATGATGTCTAAGAATGTAAAAGACCAGGGATCACAAAAATGGGAACCCCATAAAGTATGGTGCATATTAAAATCACCAAGAATTACCATAGGAGGAGGGATGGAGGATATAATCCTCGTAAGTTCCGATAAGATATTTAGATTAGGTTCGGGAATGTAAATAGAAAGGAAAGAAATGTTATGAGCTCTAACTGCAACAGCATTAATTGAAGGACTATGAGAAGGAAGGGAAATTAATGTATAAGTAATTGATTTTGAGATAAGAATGAAAGAGCCAGCATGACCATCACTTCTATCATCCCTGAGACATGAATAGCCTGAGACCCTAAAATGGGAGCCAGGCTTTAGCCATGTCTCCTGGATGGCTAGGATAAGGGGATGGTATTTATTAATAAGATATGTTAGTTCGTTTTTCTTATTTTTAATGCTCCGGCAGTTCCACTGAAGTATTGGAGGGAAGGTTATTTGTTAAGGAAATGAGCTCAGTAAGTTTTTGGCGGAGGGCGAGTGGGAGATCCATGTCGCTGAAACGGGAAAGCATACTTATAAGCATGGAGACCATCAGTTCGCAGAGATTATCATTAGGGGAAATACTTCGCCCTATTATAGCACAACCATTAGTAGATGAAGAAGGAGGGGTATTTATTATTGCCTCATGGGCAGATTTATCATATCCATGACTAGATGCTGGATTTGGCGAAAGTCTTGGAGTGAATGTAGTCTTCCTGTAAGAATGAGATTGTGAGGGGACAACTGAAGGTAAAGGAGGGTTTGAAATAGGACAGGAAGTCTGATGCTCATATGAAGGAAGGGTTCTAGCAGTATCTGCATAGGATCTACGGACTTGAGGGAAACGAGCAGATGCTTCTAGATAGGAAATATTTTCCTGTGACATTGTGAGTTTAATAGATCGCTGCCTAGAGTGTTCAGGGCAGGAGGGATCTTTAGCTGTGTGAGATCCTGAACAAAAAAGGCAAGTGGGAGACTGTCTTGTGCATGATATACCCTCATGATTTTGAGCACACACAAAACAACGGGAAGATGATCTACACTGTGAGGTAACATGTCCAAAACGGCAACATTTGTGACATTGAATAAGTGGTAAAATGTAGGGCTCAACGGGCATTGAGTTGTAAAAACAATAAATATTAGAAGGGAGTTTCTGGCCGGAAAAAGTTAAAAGGACTGTTTGAGAGGGAATCCACACAGTGCTTTGGTTTTCATTAAGTGATTTTCTATTAAATCGGCGAGCTTTAATGATTGAGCCAAAACCAGCTGG